AGGAAGAACACGAAGAGGCCCACAGTTGGCTCCGGACACTGAAAATGTAACCCGGGAATGGTGGTCTGGGAACACGAAGAACACGAACTGCATGGACTCATAGAACACAAACTTACAAGGTACGGGTGACGCACTTCATATACTGGGGACGCCCTGAGTTGGAAGCACAAGGGTAAAACCTAATGCTCTGCCCGTGGATTTGGACCGTGAGATGGAGTGGCAGGGCACTCAGAAGCGACTTCCACAGCCCATTCTCTACGGATTACCCCAACAGTTCCAGCCACCCCATAGCCACCCAGACGACGTGCAAACGCATGTGTCACGAAACGTGTGAGGGGTGTGCCGACATGGGTGGTGGGGAAGCATGCGAACCCTGCCACTGGGGCCTTCGGTGGAGCTCCCTATGGGGCCACGAAACGTGTGAGGGGTGTGCCGACATGGGTGGTGGGGAGGCATGCGAACCCTGCCACTGGGGCCTTCAGTGGAGCTCCTTATGGGGCCACGAAACGTGTGGGGGGGGTGCCGAAATTGGTGGTGGGAGGCATGCGAACCCTGCCGCTGGGGCCTTCGGTGGGGAGGCATGCGAACGCAGCCACTGGGGCCTTCGGTGGAGCTCCCTATGGGGCCACAAAACGTGCCAGGGGTGTGCCGAAATGGCCGAAATGGGGGTGGGGAGGCATGCGAACGCAGCCACTGGGGCCTTCGGTGGAGCTCCCTATGGGGCCACGAAACGTGTGAGGGGTGTGCCGAAATGGGTGGTGGGGAGGCATGCGAACGCAGCCACTGGGGCCTTCGGTGGAGCTCCCTATGGGGCCACGAAACGTGTGAGGGGTGTGCCGAAATGGGTGGTGGGGAGGCATGCGAACGCAGCCACTGGGGCCTTCGGTGGAGCTCCCTATGGGGCCACGGCGTGTGAGGGGTGTGCCGGCATGCGGCAGCCACTGGGGCCTTCGGTGGAGCTCCCTATGGGGCCACGAAACGTGTGAGGGGTGTGCCGAAATGGGTGGTGGGGAAGCATGCGAACGCAGCCACTGGGGCCTTCGGTGGAGCTCCCTATGGGGCCACGAAACGTGTGAGGGGTGTGCCGAAATGGGTGGTGGGGAGGCATGCGAACGCAGCCACTGGGGCCTTCGGTGGAGCTCCCTATGGGGCCACGAAACGTGTGAGGGGTGTGCCGAAATGGGTGGTGGGGAGGCATGCGAACGCAGCCACTGGGGCCTTCGGTGGAGCTCCCTATGGGGCCACGAAACGTGTGAGGGGTGTGCCGAAATGGGTGGTGGGGAGGCATGCGAACGCAGCCACTGGGGCCTTCGGTGGAGCTCCCTATGGGGCCACGAACGTGTGAGGGGTGTGCCGAAATGGGTGGTGGGGAGGCATGCGAACGCAGCCACTGGGGCCTTCGGTGGAGCTCCCTATGGGGCCACGAAACGTGTGAGGGGTGTGCCGAAATGGGTGGTGGGGAGGCATGCGAACGCAGCCACTGGGGCCTTCGGTGGAGCTCCCTATGGGGCCACGAAACGTGTGAGGGGTGTGCCGAAATGGGTGGTGGGGAGGCATGCGAACGCAGCCACTGGGGCCTTCGGTGGAGCTCCCTATGGGGCCACGAAACGTGTGAGGGGTGTGCCGAAATGGGTGGTGGGGAGGCATGCGAACCCTGCCACTGGGGCCTTCGGTGGAGCTCCCTATGGGGCCACGAAGCGTGTGAGGGGTGTGCCGAAATGGGTGGTGGGGAGGCATGCGAACGCAGCCACTGTGGCCTTCGGTGGAGCTCCCCATGGGGCAACAAAACGTGTGAGGGGTGTGCCGAAATGGGTGGTGGGGAGGCATGCGAACGCAGGAGGGAGGAGGGCGAGGAGAAGGAGGAGGAGGAGAAGGAGGAGAAGGAGGAGGAACGCAGGGACCGTTTCTTCAAAACGAGGACCCAACACCACAGGATGGTTTGGAAAAATCAGCCTGGTGAGCGTGGGGGTGGGTTGTTCTCTCTCGACTGATGGAGAGTGGCATTGAAATGCTTACCAGCTCCTCGGCCCGATGCGTGAACCTCCTAAATTCGGTGGCGAGGCGAGCGAGCGGGGGAAGTGAGGAGGCACATGCCTCCTCAGAATGCTTCTCAAAAAACCCTCGCGCCTCCTGAGAAAGCTTCTGTGCTTTCGGGGGAAGGCTGAGGGCACCTCTCCGCAAGCCGGGGGACTTTCGAGCCTGCGGAGACGGCCTGCCCCTTCTCGTTTCCCCTCCGGGCTCGCCGCCGATAAATCACTTCGTCGCCCCAGGCAGGCTCCGAACAGAATCGCCGTGCCCTGGTGAACAACCCCACGGAATCATCTCGGGCCCCTGGAGCACCCCACTTGCGCCCCTTGATGGGGCCCCAGGCGAGCCACAATACCGGAAGCCCGCGGGTGGCAGTGAGGGGTGATCTGCCTGGGATGTGAGGTCAAACGTGCCCTGGAGGGGCCCTTTGGGGGCCCCTTGTGGGCCGCTGCTGGCAGGGCCCCTCCTGTGGGCCCTCTTCTCCCCCACCGATTCAGCCCCCCCCGAGTACAAGCGGCCCGACATCCGCGTTGCACGCGAGCCTCCAGCAGGCGCCCAGGGACCAGCGCCAGCGGAGAGAAGGGGGGGGGCGAAGGGCAGCAGGAGCAGGCCCTCCTCTGAGGGCGGCGGGGCTACGGAAAGAAGGCGCGGAGCGCTTCCCAGAGATGCCGGGGGGCCTCCTGCGCTGAAGTCGGGCATGTCCCCGTACAGGCGGATTTCGGGCGAAAAATAGAAATAGTCAAACAATACCCCCCAAATGGGAACAGAATCATCAACAACTCGTGCCCAGACTATGTTTTGTGACTTTTTTTTCAATATTCCTCCTGTAGAGGGACAGGTCCGAGTTGATCCTGAGCCTTCTGAGGAGGCCCGCCCCCTCTGCCTTCCCCCTCTTGGGCGCGCCGCCGACTTCTGCCCCCCCCCACTCCAGCAGGGGCACATTGCGCATTCGCGCATCCTGGCGTGCTCAGCCGGCTCTGGGTCTGTTCGCGCCCGCAGACCGCACGAGCTTTGATGCTTCCTCTTATTGCTCGCCCTCCTCCGCCTCATCCTTCCTCTTCCTCCTCGTCCTCCTCCTCCTCCTGATCCTCCTCCTGATCCGCCCCCCTCCTTCTCCTCCTCCTCCTCCTGATCCTCTTCCTCTTCCTCCTCCTCCTCCTCCTCCTCCTCCTCGTCCTCGTCTTCCTCCTCCTCCTCCTCCTCCTCCTCCTCCTCCTCCTTCTCCTCCTCCGACATCCCTCCATTACCCTCCACCAGACATCTGGCGCTCCAGTTTCTTCTATCAGAAAGGTCTGGACAACTTTCCTAGGGCTGGCATCTCATGCTGAGTCGGTTTTGACGGTCCCAGGGGCTGGTGAGAGCCCCTGGAGGCCGAAAATTGCCCAAAACCTGTCCGTCCTGGTTTTTCGCGACTCAAGGCGCGCCTGGGGAAACCAAACGACACGGATACCTGTGCTCCTCGGTCCTCTGTGGGAGTCCGTTCTGACTGGAATCTGAAGGCAACTCCAGCCGTGGCAACGAGGGCCTCCTACGATACCCAAAAAGGCGAAACCGAGGCAAGGGTACTAGACAACTCCTTCCTCCTCCTCCTCCTCCTCCTCCTCCTCCTCCTCCTCCTCCTCCTCCTCCTCCTTCCTTCCACCACTCCCCCCTAAGGGCGAGCCGCCGAAAGAGGCAATTTGTCTTTAGACTCAAGCATGTCTACTTTCATGGCATTCCCCCCCTCTCAGCCGCCTCTTCCAAGAGCGCTGTGCCGGCAAGGCGTGCTAGTGTGTCCCGACTTGCGCGTAAAGTCCAGATTTCCTTTCGGGCCTCACCACGCCCCCCCCCACCTCCACCTCCCCCCCTCTATGCAAGCGAGCCTGCCAGAATCTGAAACATAACATAAGACGACGCCATGGCGAGGATAACATCGTGTGAGGATGATACGAGTCTCTGAGACCCGGCGGTTCTGGAGGATGTCTCGGGCACCGCGGCCTTCTGAGAGGAACGCCCTGCAGGAACGCTCTGGAACGGATCTATGCTCGTCCTGGCCCCGACGAGGACGACGAGGAAAACGACCACGACCGTGACCACCACGACGACGACGACAAAAACGACCTCTCGGCCAGGCCGAGCAGCGGGATCCCTCCCTGCATGGGAGGCGCCCAGACGTTTCTTGTTTTTTGTTTTCTTCGGACGGCGGCGAGACAGAGGCAGTCCGCTCCAGCGTGTGGCTAATCGGGGAAACTGACATGTCGTGTGTTCGTTAGTTGCTTTGTTAAGGCCCAGCCCAGACATGCGACGTCCATTTTGTTGGGTTATCAACACGCAGTCCCTGGGCGTGGACGCCCGAAATGGGTACGGAAAGAATGGGCACAGTGCCCAACAACAGATGGTGTCCCAAACCAAGAGCGGCCGCTGTTGGGCAGGAGGCCTTCTGCCCCGAATGGGCACAGGCCGCGGCGGCGCGGACAGCGAGTCCTGTGCAAAATGAAAAGGAACTGCAGTTGGGGATTGTACCCGTTCTTTCGGTACCCACTTCGTTCGTGCTGATGTACAAGGGTCGATTATGCCAACAGCTGCCCCGCCCGCAAATGTACCGCGGCCCGAGCACGCCGGGGAAGCTGGACGAGCGCGCTCCACTGCTCGCAAGGAGTAGCTGCTCGCAGATGGCCTGGACCCGCTGCGGGGAATCTACGATTAGATCGGCCCTTACAGGAGGATTTTTGGACGCCAAATGGAAAATTACACAAAAAACTCAACATATGCCCAAACATACTACTAAACAATAATCCCCATACTTTCTTTTGCCTATTTTTGAACATCCCTCCTGTAGAGGGACAGGCCCGACCTGAATCTACGATCGGTAACATCACAGTAAACACATGTTTTTCGGACGCCTGCGAGTATAGGCACTTTGCGAGTGGTGGCACGCGCTCGGTGAGAAACTGTGGCCCGACGATGCCGCGCTCCCATGCTGAGCCCCCGGCGAGCGCCCCAGGACCGCGGCCTGCACGCCTGCAGCACCCGGGTGCGCAGGCGTGGCCGCGCCCAGCGCCGCCGTCTCCTCGGGCACGCCGACGCCCCGCCCGGCGGCGGTCGCGCCGAGTCCGGCACCTTCGGCTCCCGCCTCTGGCGCCTGCTGGAAGGAATGGAACGCACGACCGCAGAGGAGGAGGGGGGGGGAGGAGGTGAGGAGGAGGAGGAGGAGGAGGAGGAGCAGGAGGAGCAGGAGGAGGAATCAAACCCCCTCGGGGCAGGAGAAAAATCACGACGGCGGAGGAGGAGAGAGGAGGGCGGAGTCGCCACCGTAGTGAGCTGTTCAAAACGAGAACCCAGCACAGGAGGTTCTGGAAACATCACGCTGGAGGATGTTTGATACATGTTTGGCCTCCGGGCCGTCAAAAGACGGCCCTGGGTGAAAAGCTGGTCCCGGGAGAAAGGCCTCGGCCTCCATGGGTGCACGTCGTGAACAAAAAACGACTCAAGTGTTAAGTTGGGCGTGGCTCCCCACAGGGAGATTTTCGACGAAAACAATACTCGAAACATATCTTAAATTTGTAAAACAATACTAAACAATCGTTCCCTTATTATTTTTTAACTATTTGTAAATGTTCCCCCCTGTAGAGGGACAGGCCCGACTTAACGCCAGTGTCTGGGAAGGGGGGGAGTGTACCGGAGGGGGGCAGCGACGGAAGCCACTGATGGGGGAGAAGGAAGCCCGCATCGAGGTCCGAAGCATCAGGGGCGTCGTCTTCTCACATGGGCGCAGAGCGAAAAGCGGCGGCGACGAGGGCGTCATCGACGAAAGCGTCGAGATGGTCTTTTTGTTGTGGCGGCGAGCGCGGGGGGGGAAGTGAGACTGGACGGGCGGGGATCGGAAGTCCCTCGGCCCTCTGAGAAGTTTGTATGAGCTTCCCCGAAGACGCAGACAACTTTTCAAAAGGCCGGATGGCTTCTGAGAAAACCAGCCGCCGTCTGAGAAGGCCTGCTCCTTCTCATTCCCCCCCTCGCTCGCTGCGAATTGATGGGCAAGCGGGAGGTAAGGGGGGGGGGGAATCGATGGCAAGCCTGCAGCAAATCAAAGCAGCCCACAGCCATGGCGTTGCACGGGAAACGAGATGTTCGGGGCTGGCGGGCAGAGGATGGGGGGCGTCATACCGAAGACGAGTCGAAGCCAGAATGAAAGTAGGAGACACGAGAGAGAGAGAGAGGATTGGGTGCGCTACTCCTCGATCCTCCTCTTCAGTCCTCCCCGATCCTCGCTCCTTCTCGCTCCTCGATCCTCGAATCTCCTCGGTCCTACTCCTCGATCCTCTCTCTCTCTCTCTCCCCCTCTTTCTCGGGCACCACTTTCTGCACCTCTCGCCGCCCGCCGCCCCGCCGCAGTGTTCGCCCATATCTTGGGACGGGTGCTGATGGCCAGACATCGGGACGGGTGTTCTTTAACAATGCTGAGCGTACTCCAGATTTCGTAATAAAAGGGAGGGGGGTCTCAATTCGGGGGGGGGGTCTCTTCCAGGCTATTGGGGGGTCTGGGGACGATGTTTTGGAGGGTTCTCCCACGGGGGAGGTCTGAAATGGCTTGTCTTGGAGGGTCCAGACCCCCTCCCTTTTATTACGAAATCTGGAATACTTGGTTCGTGTCGCTCGCAGTAGACCGCCGGCAAAAAGGAAGCTGGGCACTTTTGCTAGACTGCTGCGATGACCAAGGATGCAACCAACCAGCCACGCACGACGCAGGCAAGTATTTGAAAACCGGAACGTGTAGAACATGCACTCTACAAATCCGCCACCACACTCTGCAGTGCCAGGATGTCCCAAGCTCTGTAGAGCCTTTGATACGGCAGGTTCGCGTCGTGTCGACCCTGGCGTTGGTTCCTGACACCGCGGGGGTCGGTCAAACTTGAACGATCGGCCCTTTCAAAAAGGCCGGATCGTTTAAGGATGGGCCGACTCTGGGACACAAGCTGCGTTCTCGACACGACGCGAACCTACCATAGTTCACCATCCTGCTTGCGGAGCATTGGCTATAGTCTTCACGTAATGGTCCTGTTGGGAAGGTCGTCTTTCTGACGAGGACCCCGTGGCTTTCCCCCTTCCTCCTACCGGGATTTGTTATAAAAAGCCACTGCCCCAGGTAATTAGGACGCTCACGAAGGGGCCCAGGGACAAACAAATAGATATACACAGATCCCAGGATTCCCTATTATGTATGTGTGTATATATATATATATGTTCTGGGTTTGATATTCGACTTCTCCCCCACTTCCTACTTTTTTCATTTTCTTGGGAGTCCACGGTTCAATGTGTCTGTGTGATCTTTTCCTCCTGAGCTCAGGAGCACCATTGCTTTCTACCACGTAAATTCAGAAGCCGCCTACCAGCGCACATCGCATCCCATCTACGTATCAACCACCATCCGTAGATCCCGCTGGGCACGACAGAAAAACGGGTCAACATAGTCAGACATTGGGGCTCGTGGCCCCTCTCATGAAACCCGGGTCAAGGGAAAACACTACAGCCTACCAGTGCCAACCGAAGAATGGACCGAGTCATAGACAACGCCGACCCTTGGAAACTGGCGGCGTACGACCGTACGAAGGAAGGCCCAGGCCAAGCACAATCGAGGTCAAACCAACCCCGAAGAAATCCACGGGAACACACGGAAGAGAGCCGGGACAATCGGAGACAATGCCGCACAAAAGATGTTGGAGGCAACCCATGTCAATGCCGAACAACGAAAAAATTAAAACATCCGTGACGCGGAACAGCCGAGGACAAGTCCAAACCGGGAACAAGAGCATCAACCGAAAGAAGAACAGAGTGGGGAAACACGCTTCAAAGTCGAGAGGAATCGGGGACGAGGCCGCACAAAAGAAATTGGCGATACCACGGTGATGTACTGAGCCGGAGAAAACCAGGGTCAAGGCCGAGCTCAAAGAGAAAGGGCTAACCGAGGATCAAACCGAAGGAAGAAGTCGTGACAAGACCGAGCCAGGCGGAACACCACCAGCATTCCCGGCGCAGGTTGTTTGGGGTGCCAGCTCCTGCAAAACGACCTCCCTTTCCTTTGTGGACGGAGGTTAACAACCATAGGGTCGAACCTGCCGTAGGGTCCGTAGGTAGAGGACTAGGTGAGGGAGAGAAAGTAAAGTTTCCCCTCACGGCCCGATAAAGGTCGGGCGCAATGTCATATCCAATACCTGAACCGAGAGGATAGCAAGATAGATGGATAGAAAGAGGAGAGGAGCAGTCTTCACACATCCCTTACTGGCCTACGGGGGGTGTTACTCCTCCCCAGAAGAAGTGAGAGAGTCCGAGGTGGCCGTGGAGGGCTCCCAAGAACGCAAAAACTCACTAGACAATCCAAATGGCAACCTCGCCGTGCCCGTGAGGTGGACCCCGCGAACCTGCCTTGCTGGGAAGGGCAGCGCCCAGTGCAGACATATACACCGAAGCCCGACAGGCGGCACATCGCCGGCAGCCACACGACAATGATCAGCGCCCGGAATCTTCACAGCAAGTGCGCGGTTCGAGGCGAGAGGAGGAGAAGGGGAACAGGGTGGAGGAGGAAAAGGGAAGAGGAGGAGGGCAATGGAGATAATATAATTAGCGCTGTGAGCGCATGCCCCCAGGATCCGAACGATCACTCATGAGCAATGGCGCCCCACAACACCTACACCGAAGATGTGTTCCAGTACCGCATATGGCGTTATGTCAGGCGTGTCACCCTACAGGGGGATTTCCGACGAGAAATAAAAAATACCCCCAAAATGCCCCCAAAGGTCAAACTATACACCAAAAATAGTCCCCAGACTATTTTTGGATTATGTTTTGGCTGTTTTGGGGGTATTGTTTATGTTTCGTCGAAAAACTCCCCCTGTAGGGGGACAGGCCCGACTTAAATATGGCACGAGATCGGAACAGAGCCCGAATTCTTGGACCGCGGAGCACGTCCTCCCCACTGCGGCAGGCTCGCCCGTGCAGGCGAGGGAGGGGGCTTCTGTTGTATGGGCAGGCTGCAGGCACGGCCGCCGCGGCTCTTCTGGCCTGCCTGGCGTGCCCCAGGGCTCTGAAAGGGGCCCTGCGATGCACAAATAGACACCGAAAAACAGGAGTCCCAACATGTTCCAAGTATCTCTGGGCTTTTGTCTCTCTCTTTTTTGTGTTTTCCCTCCTGGGGCTTTCCTGTAGGCCCTGGGCCACCGGGGGCAGGTCAGCGTCCCCTGTGGCGTCAGCTGGCAGGCACGTTCCTCCACCGACGTGCACGCTGGAGCCCACGCTGGGTCAGCTGGCGTCGCGAACGTGGCCACGTGTGGCACGGGTACTGCCCCAACGTGGCTCTGACGTTCGGCGAGGAGGGAGGGGAGGGAAGTGAGAAGGAGAAGGCCTTCCAAGAAGGCTCGGAAGTCTCCCAGCCTTCTGAAAGGTGTTCAGAGCCTTCCCCGGAGACACAGAAGACCTCTCGAGGGCGCGAGGGCTTCCGAGGAGTCCCGCCGCCCTCTCAGAAGGCCTTCTCCTTCTCACTTCCCCCCCGTCGCCCGCCGCCGAGAGGTGGGGCCCGATCCTCTCAAGGGCGTAACCAAGAGGCAAAGCCCAGTGATGCACATGTTACCTTCAACCGATGTTGGCCGTCTCGCCTTCTCGCTTCACATTCGCCCATGAGGCCTCAGCATGCGCCGAAGATGGCGCCAAGAAGGGCGCACAAGGATGTAGAAGGGTCGCGAGAGTGACCCCAAGGTCCCCTAAGACCGCCCGAATATCCCCAACACTACCACGAGAGCCAATACATCGAGCTCCCAATTAGGAGCCCCAATCATCGCCCGCCTTTTTTCCTTGCATATCGTCTCTGAGATGTATCTGGAATGGCCCCACGAGACCCCGATATTCTTTCACGAAGGTTCCAACATAATCCCAAGAGGGCCGAACAAATCTCCAAGAGACTCCCAGATGCTACTAAGTCGGCCTAGTTTAGTGGCAGTTCGGAATGATCCCGACTTTGGTCTGACTGGCGTGCCCCCTCTTTGATTCACAAATGCTCGTGTAGTGGTATAGTGAGGGGCTGCCTGACCTCTGAGCCCCAGGAGGCGCATCGGACCTCCTAGGGAAATGGTAAATTGCTCAGGGCGGACGCGATTGTCGCCCTCAGAGCGCACTGATTACCTGGAGCGCGAAACTACACAGGGCAGGCCAGGTGGGACGTATTGTCCCCTACCGGCACAGTGATGCTACATAGGAAGTGTAGCTCACAAGAGTCAACTTGTGCAACCATTTGCTCCTTTTGTGAAATGTTCACAAGGCCTGTTGGAGCCGCCGCGGCCTATGCTTCACAAGAGCGCACCTAGTGAAATGTTGCATAGCCACGCCGCAGAGAAAAAGGAGACAAAGATGGTCCCCGCCACAAGACAAAATGTCAACGAGGACTATACAAAGGGTCAACCGTTGCCCTCCACACGACAGTTCACCGAATAATCGCTTGCGGGGTACGCGAAGCATCACTGATGGCTGAAGAAAGAAAGACGACCAAGTCGGGAATACTCGGGGACCAGGGAGAACCAACGAAATTGATTGATTGATTGATTGCAACCGGAAGAATGGACCGACAAAAGCAACCCGACCAAACATTGGCGGCAACCCGGGAAATTAGCGAGCCGCGTATTTCGGGGGCAAGATCTGCCACCGTGCTCTGGGCACGACGTGGAGTGCCCCACGGCTCATGCATCCCTGAGAGGCCTGTGCTGCTGCAGCCAGCATTGTAAGGTTTGAAAAGGGGGCCGGACCAATCGTTTCCGGGGCTTTCCCGGGGGCCCCTGGAACCGCTCGCGTCGGCCTGCCCCGCCCAGGACGGCCACAAGACGAGCTCAGATGGAGTCAAGATGCCCCCAACATGGTCAAAGAGGGCCCCAAGTCGCCCCAGGATCGCTCCCAAACGCGCAAGATGGCCTCAAGATGGCCCAAGAGGCCTCCAAGTCGCCACAAGAGGCCTCTAGAGGCCGCCCAAGAGGGCCCCAAGAGGCAGCCATCACTGATTTTCCAAAGGTTTTTGGTTGGCGTTCCCGCCTCGTCGGCTCTCAGACGCTCCAAGACGGCCCAAGATGCCCTAAGACCACCCCGAGACGGCCCAAGATGTCTCCAAGAGGATCCCAAGAAGACCTAAGAGCTCCCCAAGTGAGGCCCCAAGAGAATCTAAAACGGCCCCCAGGAGGCCTCAAAAACATCTCGAAGAGGCCCCCGAGAGGCCCCCCACGAGATCCCAGCGAACATCCAACAGGCTTTACAACGATAACCGATGCACGGCAGCGGGATGGGCGGAAGGCCTTCCACAGGGGAGCAAACAAGCTCCCCCACTCCCACCTTGGCCCCCCCCCAAAGGGGAGCGATGGGGTCGGGGGCAGGTGGGGGTGGGGTCAAGACACCCCCTAGATAGCAAGTCGTCTAGCTCACTCCCACACGCCCTCCCAACACAAGAGTAACACCCGAGCCTGAGCATGTTCAGCGGTCGTCTGTGGATGGACAGCCACTGGGAATCAACACCAACCTCAAGTGCGCGACGCTGGGGCAAGGTGCGCAACGCGTGCCAGGCAAGCCTGGTGCGCCAGATGCGCCACGTGCTCCGCGTGCGCCAGGTGTGCCGCATACTCCAGCCGCGCCAGGTGCGCCACGTTCGAAGCACGTGCAGAGTGTGTCAGGTGCACCTGCGCAGGTGGCAGCACACATCGGGAAACATGTCGGCCCCCACCATCCTTGTCGAAAACCTGTGCCAATCATTGTGTCTGATGAACCTGCGCACAGCAGGCCATACGCCACCACCCCCGCCGTTCCTATCAAAAACCACTAGACAATGATCGCGGGGTGGCCGCGCATTATCCGGATTTAGCTGGAGGTGCATTTTGTATAGCTTGTGTTGTTAGGGATGATAGCCCCGCACGCAGCAGGCAATATGCTGACACCCCGCCGTCCCTGTCAAACAAAATATAAAGTGCTCGCGGGCCTCACGAGCATGACTCAAGATTTTGCCTCAACATGTACTTTGTATTGTGTTTTGACAGGGATGCTGGGGGGGCCGCATCGGGTTGGCCGCGCATGCTCCAAATGAGGAGGCATAATGCGTTGTGTATTGTTTTCTTGGGGAGGGGGTGTATATTGATACAGATATACTTTTTCGCCGCGTGTGCGAACCATCCTCACAGTCGGCTTTTGAAGCTCTCTGTGGCCCAGCCCTAATAAAAGGGGGCGGAGGTTGGAAGCGGCCGGGGGGTCTGAACTGGTTGTAACCTCAGAACATCGGCCAGGGGATAAAGCTAAATCCGTTCAAAACCGGTCCCCATACCTCTCCCGGCATCCATTTGGTGCAGCCTTTCGTCCCAGATTCGGCTTTCACGATCCCGGGGCCCGAAAGCGGCTCCAGGAAGCCAAAAAAACAAACAACCTACCCGAACCCAGAGCCTCGAACCTGCCCGCCCTTCCAGGTGGCCGGAATCAGTGCTGGGCCACCTCGGACCCCCAGATGGCTCCACGGTGGAGATGCGCTTTCCGTGCCGGCCGAAAGAAGCAGCGTTGCGGGGACCATCGGGGATCGGTGGTAGGGTGGAGGCGGCCACGGTCGGGAACGGACAGGGCAAAAACCGAGGAACAATGGCGGCGGCCCGGAGCAGGGCCGAATCGAAGACACCTGAGAACACACCAGAACTGAGAAATGGGCAGCATCTGGAGGAAGGCCGAGACGAAGTACTGAGGGACAAAACGAAACCAAAAGTATGGTCGCAAACGAGAAGAGGGAGACAAGCGGGGACGACGCCCAGTCAGAGAGACCAACAGAAACGAAGATACGCGACCGAGTCGGAGACGAGATGACAAGACCGACCCAGGGACATACACGGCAACATCACAGAGGACCGAGGCGAAACCCGAGAAACTGCAAGCAGCCAACACCAACACAGGTCGAGAGCAGGCTGGGACAAGGCAGAACCGACCTACGGCTGCGAGGGCACGGAGACGGGGCCCGCACGGCCGGCAGAGGGGGACACGGCCGGCGCGAGGGAAAGACCAGGTCGGTACAGTCGGGGACGATGTCCCAGACAAGAGTCGACAACCAATACGCGGGACCCAGCCGAGGACAGTTCAGGACAAGGACGGGCCAAAGAAGTTGGCAGCGACCGAGGGCAGGACCCGGCTGGGACAATCGGGGACGATGCCGGGCCATGGACCTTGGCAACCTGTCGGCAGCCGGAGGATGGACCGAGCAGGGGGCAGTCAGGAGCAAGGCCAGTAAAGAGAAAGTTGCAGCATTCGGGCTGAGAAAAACCGAATCGTGGACATTAGCGGCACCTGGACACAGGGCCCAAGCGGGGGGCAGCCGAGCACAAGGCCGAACTGAACAGATCGGCGCAACCGACGGAACGGATCCGATCGGGGACCATCCGGGACATGGCCCAACCCAAGGAGGGTGGTGGCGAAAAAGGGGGACACCATTGCGGACCATCGGGGACAAGGCCCCACAAGAGGAAGCGGTGGCAACCGAGGGGAATGCCGACTCGGAGACAGTCGGGGACAGGGCGGATCCGGACCAATTGGCGGCAGCCCGGGCGAGCCAAGAGAAGGTGGCCGCAACCGCAGAAAGGAGCGGTGCGTCAAGGGTCGGGGACCGACGGGATGGTCCAGTCGGGGGCAGCCAGAGACCAAGGGATCTGGCTGTAGCCTACGGACTGAACGATACCGGGACGATTGAAGGGGCCCCAGGACACACAAATAAATACACACAAATAAAACAATTCCCTATATTTTCCCATATTTTCTGGGTTTCTGTCTTCCCCCCCACCTCCCATATTTTCCCATATTTTCTGAGGAATCGAGGATTAATTGTGTCTGTGTGTTTTTTTCCACTCCTGAACGATGGGGGACAAGACCAGATCGAAGCGATTGGCGGAAACTGTAGAATACCGAGGCGAAGGTCATCGGGGTCGCTGCCGAACCACAGACCTCGGTGGCATTGGAATGCAAGTCTTGACAGGACTTGGAAGATCCCTTGAGGACAAGCGCTGTTTACGTAGCGGCCTAAACAACTCCCAATACGTCCAACACAAGATCTCCTCAATTTCCCTGTGACATCTGCCCGTGCCAAACCGCTGCAAAACCGCTATGAGCTCGAGCGGCATGAGTTGTCATGATCGGCACATGCGATCGACACAAATCTGGTCTGGTCTGCAAAAACGCCCTTTACGCCCAAGCGCGCAAGCAGACGTGCGTGGAAAACGCAGGCGGATAGTTGAAAAATTGGGAGCACGCCGTGAAGCACAACTCACGCGCTGCAACGCCAGCTGGCCAATTTAACATGCGCTTATCTTTCAAAGAAGTACGGGATGATTGCACCGACAATCCCCAAAACGACCGCAGAGACAATGAGCAGCCAAACAGGGCAGCAGATGCAGAAAGAAAAATACACGGGGTATACGAGGCCCAACAGGAAAACACTTGCGCCCCTAATGCCATGATTCGTTGTGTTACCGTACGGTAGCTTCAGCGCGGCGAATGCTAGCGCATTCAAAGAATAAAAATATATGGGATCGAGAATAAAATGCTCGCTAAGCCCTATCACCAAACACCGCATGATCTTCCTCGGATCTCCTAACGCCATGAGAACAGCATCATATACAAATAGGAACAACACTCCGGCATTCTCCTGAAGAAGATCTGCATACCGAAGGGACTGCCGTGGTGTTCCGATCGACCTCGTCACAATCTCAGGGAATATCTTCTGCACGAGCTGGTCGAAGGCCTCGATGGTGCCGAACCAGCACTGGATCCTCTCCTCGATCGGCTGACGGTCAGCAGCAAAGCCGACTTTGGCGTCGCGCGTTGTGAAACTCGCGAGCTTCTGGTCTAAAATCTGTCGGCCTTGCATCGAAATGTGACAGAACACAAATTTCGGCACTCCGAATATCAGCGTGCCTCCAGTTCCCCAGATGGCGAAGTACTCGAGCCAACTTTGCGGATACCAGAATTTGTAAATAAAGTCGTTGATCGCCAACATGACGAGGAAGCCAGTGATGCCAACGAAGCACAGAACAATGTGGATAGTGACAAATACTGCAACCTGAATCGGCATGAAGTTGAGAGAGTCAACAACTTCACTTTTCTTGTGACGAAGAAAAGCGGCGAGCTCGTAATTGCACCACAACCGTTCGAAATCCGCCACCGTGCCTGCGCGGAATGGACGTGTTAGACCTGGACCGGCACGGGAACGGAAAGAGCGCTGCAGAAACGTGCCTCAAATACCTCATGGCACCTCTCGCTTTTCGGAGCTTTGGTGTTCAGAGCTTTCTACGTTACCGAGGGCGCCTCTTGGGAACCTCTTGGGGCTCTCTCGGGGCCGTCTTGGGCCGTTTTGGGGCCCTCTTGAGCCGTCTAGGGGCCCTCTTGGACCGTTTGGGCCCCCTTTTGGATACCCCTGGGGCGATCTTTGAGGCCTCTTAAGCCGTTCTGGGCCCGAAACAACGAAAACCAGAAAAACAACGTAAGGAACATTAGTTTTGTTTGCCTCCTGAGGCTCTCTGGGGGGCCCGATTGAGGACCTCTGGAGCCGTCTTGAGGCTCTCTTGGGCCATCTGGAAGCCACATGAGGCCATCTTGGAACGCTCTTGGGCGGACGTGGGCTCTCTTCGAGCGCTCTTGAGCCGTTTTGGAGCCCTCTTGGACTCCTCTTGGGGGTTTCTTGGGCCGTCTTGGGGGGATCTTGCGCCTTCTTGGGCGTTGCTGGGGCCGTTTTTGCGGGGTGCGTGTTACCCTGAATTCCCCACCCTACGTCCCTCCCCTGGGCCCCCTCCCTAGAGGATTTCGCCCCACCAGAACGGCATCACTCGTACATCGCTCTTTCCGTCACCTGGGCCCGCATGGGAACGGAACGTGCGCTGCAGAAGCTTGCCCGAGATGGCTCATGGCACCCTTCGCTCTTGGGAGCCTTGGTGACCAGAGCTTATTACGTCACCGCTCCCTACTGGGAGCCCTGGTGTTCAGAGACATTTGCGTTCTCGCTCGCTCTTGGGAGCCTTGCTGTGAAGAGCTTCTTACGTCACCGCGCTCTGGGGAGCCTTGGTGGTACGAGCCTGTTACGTCACCGCTCGCTGTTGGGAGCCATGGTGGTACTTGTCGTCCCTGTGGCTTCTTGGGGCTCTTCTTGAAACCCCTGAGGGCCGTTTTGGGACATTCTCGGGCCGTCTTGGAGACCTTCTATGCCGTCTTGGGGCGTCTTACAAGCCTTTGGCGCCGTCTGGGGGCTCTCTTTGGAACCCTTTGGAGCCCTCTTGCGAGCCATTTTGGGCCCTCTTGGGCCTCTCTTGGGGCCGCCTTGGGGCCCTCTTGGGCTTTTGGGGTCCACTTCGGCCGTCTTGGGGCGCTCTTGAGCCGTTTTCGGGACCTTTTGGGGGCCTCTTGAGTCGTCTGGGGACGATCTTTGGAGCCTATTGGGCCGTTTAGGCCGTTCTGGGCCCGAAAATGCGAGAACCCGACAAACCTTCAAGCATCACAGGCAAATCAATTAATTTTGCATCTTTTGGCCCTCTTGGGAAGCCTTTTGCACGCCTCTGGGGGCGTCTCGGGGCCCTCTTGGACCGTCCCTGGGGCCCTTTTCGGCTATCTTGAGGGGTTCTGGCTGCGTTGGGGCTCTCTTGGGTGCCTCGTGGGGCCCTCTCGGGGCTGTCTTGGGGCTCTCCGGGGCCGTCTTTGGCCCTCTGGGGCCCGTCCTTGAGCCCTCTGGGGCCGTCCTGGAGCCCTCTTGGGCCATCTTGGACCTTGCTGGGGCGATCTTTGGGGCCTCTGGGGCCGTCTTGAAGCGTCAGGAAGCCGAAAAGGCGAGAAATCACGCAAAAACCTCCGAACAATCAATGATCTGTGCCTGCTTGGGCCCTCTTGGGAAGCCTCTTGCAAGCCGCATGGGGCGTCGCGGGGCATTCGTGGACCGTTCCTGGGTGGGGACCTTTTCGGCCGTCTTGAGTTTCGCGCATGGGTGCAGGCGGGGAGCTTCAATTGGTTTCCCCGCCGACCACATCGATCGACGATGTATCGCCCATGCATGGCCCATAAGGACACTATTACCGGGACCCTGCGCCCGACCCCCCCTTTCACCCTTCAACTGAATCAGTTGCGCCCGCCCGTTCGTCGACAACGCGCTCAAGACGCCGCGCGAAGCGGCTGGAGCACGCGTTGGGCGCCCGAGTTATCCGGGGTGATTCGGGCTCGCATCCCTGAAAAAACGAACCCGAGTTAGCCCTGACCCGAGTTACCCCTGATGATTCGGGGCTCTGAACGCGTGCGACCGGCGCTCCCAGGCGCTCCCAGGCGCTCCAGAGGCGCTCCAGAAGCGCTCCAGAAGCGCTCCAGAGGCGCTCCCAGCCGCTCCAGAAGCGCTCCAGAAGCGCTCCCAGGCGCTCCCAGGCGCTCCCAGGCGCTCCCATGCGCTCCAGAAGCCCGGCTGCCCCGCCCTCCGCGGGGGCGACTTGCGAGCCGCCCGCGCGCACCGGCAGCGAGCCGCCCGCGCCTGCCGCGCTAGCGTGCCCCACGCGTCGCCGCCGCCATCGGGCTCCGACGCGGCGACGCGGCCCCTCCCGCCCTCGCTGGCGAGCCTTGGCGCCGATGGCGTCGAGCAGCGGCGTCGGGCCAGACCTGGCCTCCTCCCAGGGGCGGGCGCCTGCCGCGGCAGGATTGTTTTTTTTTTTTTTTTCCTCTCAAGCACTGGCGGAAAAAACGGTTGCATTTGAGAGGCGTTTTATTCCTCACTTACAGCCGCTGCGAAGTATTATACATCATCCCTGCCGCGGCAGGGCGCCTGCCGCGGCAGGATGCTCCGGTCCGCTGCGCCAGCCTCGGCGGAGGCGCGCTCGGAGAACGCCCCGCTCCTCGCCGGGGCGTCGGGGCACGCGACCGCCTCCGCAAGCGTCGCGCCGCGGGGGCCACCGAAACGGCCTCCGTCGGGGCCGCCGAAACGGCCTCCGCCGGGGCTGCCAGCTGCTCTCGCAGCCGCGCGATCTTTGCCTGCGCCGCCGCCGCTGCCTTGCAGGCGGCCGCACATGACACGACAGCTCGCCGCTTGGGCCCCACCACCACCCCAAACGGCAAGCATAAATCGGGCGTAGCCACCCACGCATGGCTATGTCAAAACAGTCCAGGCCCCATCGATTTGCCCGTGGTCGCTTTGGGATTCATCGTGGTGGGCGGGCAAACAGAAGAAACAATGAACACGGATCTGATACTTTCTGGCCGCGCCGATGGGCGCCTCGTCGGTTGCCCCGGTTGTTGCGCCGACGGTGCTCCCGATTGCGCCGATGATTGCCCCGATAGGTTGCGGCCGAGGGGCACAACCTATGGCGCGACCAGGAGCCAGTTGTAGTTTCGTGGACGCCGTCGGCGCAACAATCGGGACCACCGTCGGCGCAGCAGTCGTGGCAACAGGCGGGACGACCATCGGAGCGGCCACAAAAATCAGATCCGTGCCCGGTTCGTCCCAGCTCGTCTGCTCCTTCACCAGCGCGGCGCGCGCCTCAGCGAGGTCAGCGGCCTGGCGCTGCAGCTGAAGGGGCCCTGGGACACACAAATAAATACACACAAATAACCAGATTCCCCATATTTTTCCATACTTTCCGGGTTCTTGTCTTCCCCCCCCCCTCCCACATGTTCCCCTACACTTTCTTGGGAATCGACGATGGATTGTGTCTGTGTGTCTCTCCCCCTCCCGAGCAGCGCGCCCGCGGCACGGCGTGAAGCCGCGGCCACATCGACGGCGACGTCCGTCAGCCTCGCGGCCATCTTCGGCCGAACGCCCTCGAGGCGCGCGCCCGCCCGGGCGCCGCGTGCACCGCCGCCTCGCCGAGGCCCGCGCCCGAGGCCGCCGCTCGGCCGCCGCCTCGGCCGCCGCCTCGGCCCCCGCCTCGGCCTCCGCTTCGGCCCGCACCTCGCCCTCCTCGGCCGAAGCCTCCCGGGGGGCCCCGGGAGAGCTCCTCGGAGGCCTTTTCCTCTCTGTCTTCCTGTTCTCCCTCTCTTCCTCCTCCTTTCCTCCTCCTCCTCCTCCTCCTCCTCCTCCTCCTCCTCGTCCTCCCTGCCGCGCGGACGAAGATGAGGTCGAGTTTGCGGCCCGCGTCAATTCAGATCGCTCGTTAAACTGCAGCAGGGCGTGAACTCGAACTCACCTCCAAATGGTGCAGACTAAGACAAGGTCGAGTTAACGACCAGTCCCGGTTCGAACAGATCGTCGGAAGTCCAGCGTTCCTTCACTCAGCAAGCTTCCTGCCGCGCAGTTGCACACACGGTGGTCGCGCTGTTTGCCGCAGGCAGTTGGATAGTCGTTGTCGAACGGGATGAACATTGTTTTGCTTTGGGTCACGAAGTTCCCCATGTAATCAATGCCTCTTCTCTTCAACTCTGGATCCGTCTGGTGAATGCAGCACTTATCTAAGAATATCATTTGCTGGTAGACGCTTCTGGTCTTGAAGAGCACGTGCCCGAACGCGAACGTCGTGATCTGCGTGACGCACCCAACGAAAAAGACGGGGCCGCACAGCGGCATGCCCTCGTGGGGAAGCAGACATGCCTGCACCTACACGTACCTCCCCCTACTCTCCGGGGGCGGGACCCATTTAGCAAAACACCCGGGGACGCACTGACCCTGGCGAACGCACACCAAGGTCAATGAATCTCTGCAGGATCCTGCAAGATCTGGCAGGATCCCGCAAAATCCTGCGCGCCAGCCCAGGTCAATGCACCCCTGGCGCTTGAGGGTCCTGCAGGACCCAGCGCTCTGGCTGACCCCCGTTTGCATTTGCCCCCGTCAGAAAGCTCCCCGAAACGCCCCTTCGTGAAACCGGCTGGGGACCACGACCTGGGACCACACGCGGCGGGCGCAGGCTCGCGCACAATGCGGCCGCATCGGCCTCTGGGGGATCGAAAAAATCGCAGTTCGCTAGTCGGCTTGGCAGGGAGGGGGTTCTGTCAACCTGCGATTTCCCCCCCTGGGGTGGAGGGAGGGGAGGCACAGCGAGAGGTTGGAGAAGAACCTCGGCCCACGACGACTCGACTTTTTCGAGTCGCTGGCCACCTGGACTCTCGACGCCCTCCCCAGAGCCAGCTTTCCGTCGCCGATCGTTTGTTGACGGTCCCGTGGCACGAAGTGGGCTTCCAGAGTGCCCAAATCGAAGAAAAAGTGGCCATCGCGATGTCTTCGTGGCGTGGGAGCTATGGGAAGCGGGGGTGGGCGGGGAGAGGGGAGAGATGGGGAGGGATGTGCGAGGATGTGAGGACTTCGTCTGCCCTGGACCTCGGGGTACTCAGTGGGATTGCCAGGGAAGGGCAGGTGGAAGACGGGCATGTAGACCCCCCACGGAGTGAACACCTTCACCTTAGGAGGGCAAACACGGGAAGACAGTCCGCCGCCCCCCGCTTGCCAGGGTGAAAAGGCGTGTGAGACATCTGGCCTTAGGTCGGGCATGTCCTCCTACAGGCGGATTCTGGTGGATGAGACATGAAAAATACTCGAACAATGAGCCCACATAGCCAAAACTACTCGAAACGTCGTCCCCAGACTATTTTTAAAACTGTGTTTGAACATTCCCCCCGTGGAGGGAGATGCTCGAGTCAAACCTGGCTGCCCCCCTCCCCCTGCCCCAGATCTCGCCCGTGGGGGGTCCAAAGGGTCGACGCGCTCAGGTGCCCCGAAAGGGCGACGAGCTCGTCCGCGCGCGCCCGGGGCGCCCCTATGGCACCTGCAAGTCTACACTCCGTGGCCTCCACGATGCACACCACGTGATCTAACCCGCCTCGCGGTGGGCTGCAACGCTCGGGGGGACGACAGATGGGGGGTAGCAAAGGGTAGGGTAGAGAATTTGGACACCCGAAATGGGTACCGAAAGAATGGGTACAATGCCCAACAACAAATGTTGCCCCAAACCAACAGCGGCCGCTGTTGGGCAGGCGACCTTCTGTCTCGAATGGACACAGGCCGCGGCGGCGTGGACAGCGAATCCTGTTCAAAATGAACAAGAATTGTTGTTGGGCATTGTACCCATTCTTTCAGTACCCATTCCGGGCGTCCAGAGAGAATCAGCTCACGTAGCTGATTTTCCCAGCGCCTCCCGGCGCCGGAAGGCGCCCATGTACCGAGGAATGGGACCGGCGGCGGGGCCGAAACCAGCTGCATGCAGCAGATTTCGTAACCCCCCCTTTCCCTATATCCCCCCTTTCGTTCGGCCCGAAACTTGCCGAAGAGGCTAGAAACCATTCCAGATACAGTGGAGGCCAGTCCACAAGAGACCTTCCACAAGAAACCCAACCCTGAGACCCCAGGTCGTCCATTGATTCTTGGTTTGGGTACGTCACGCTTCCCATCGTGAAACCATTGGGGGCAAGCATCGTTACGCTTCCCATCGTAAAACCCAAGAAACCCAGGGCACCCTGGAGGCAAGCAGGGTGTTTCTTGGCATGGGCCTCCACTGTAGTCCTCAAAGCGGCAGGGGGGCCTCCAATTTGCCTCAAGACAGATTTAGGACGACCCCGGCACGGACCCAAAGCAGCACGAATCGAGCCAATCTCCCCAGGAAGCATGAATCCTTGGCATGTTCTCCTGCGTCGACTTCACAACCGACCACACGGCCCCAGTGAAGCCCCAAGATACGGCCCAAAAGAGGAACTCAAACGAGCCCACAAGAAGGACGCCCAGGACCGCCAAAGGGCGCCCTAGAGACCCCCAGCAGTCCCCACGAGGCCCGCTGGCCATCGCTCGGACGTCGATTCCCTGTGCTTTTTTCGGTTTCGTGCGTGTTTTTTTCGCCAAATGGTCAAGGATGCTCCTCGATGGTCCTCGCCGAGAAAAAAATGCACACGTCCGAGCGACGCCAGGCCCGAGTGAGCCAAAGAAGGCGCCCACGCGACGCCCCCGAAGAGGCCTCAGCGCGCCCGCAGCAGACCACAGCGTGCTGTCCAAGACGGCCCCGGCAAAAAGGGCCCCCGCGCGCCGGCCTCCGAGGCCCGCCGGAGGGGCCGCCGAAGGGCCACCGACGGAGCCGCCGAGGCCCGCCGACGGGCCCGCCGGAGGCCGCCGAGGGGCCGCCGACGGGGCCGCCGAAGGGCCGCCGAGGGCCGCCGACGGGGCCGCCGAGGCCGGCTGACGGGGCCGCCGACGGGGCCGCCGAAGGTCCGCCGAGGGCCGCCGAGGGCCGCCGAAGGTCCGCCGAGGGCCGCCGAGGGCCGCCGAGGGCCGCCGAGGGCCACCGGCGGGCCCGCCGCCGAGCCTCAAGAACGCCCACGGTACCCTCAGGACGCCGAAGGGGGGCGTCAAGACGATCCTCAAGAGGACCTCCAGAGGCAATCATCGCCCATGCTCGAAACATGGTTGCATGATTTTCGCGTCCTCACCATTTCCGGGCGTGGGCCAGCCCAGCACGGCGCCAGAGCTCCCCCGGACTGGTTCAAGGTTGCCCAAGGGGCTCCCAAGAGGGCCTGGGGACGGCCTAAAGAGAGCCTCAAGACAGCCCTAGAGGCTCCAAGACGGGCCCAGGATAGGCCCCAGGGGGGAACCCGCAGGGACCCCGGGAGCCCTCACAAACAAGATGGCCCCCAAGACCCCCAGAATTACTCCAAGAGGCCTCCAGGAAGCCCCCAGAGGGCTCCTCCATCAGAAAACAGCAATCGTTGAATTTCCCATCACCGACCAACTGCCCTGTCTCCCCGTCCTCTATGCGAGGGGAGGGTTGGGGCCGATTCTTCGCCATCCGTCACAGTGAGCAGCACCAAGAAAGTCGCCAGAGCCGCGAAGTGGGCGGCCACATGGGAGAAGTGCCCGTTGAAGTGGTAGAGGATTGCCACGTACTTGAGGAACCTGTCTGACGTCCACGTGTGCGACATGAACACGTCCAACTTCTCGGAGGGCTCGACCGGCTCCGACAGCTCGTACGTGCAATTCGTGCGGCTGTTCTCCATGAGGCTGGGCCCCTGCCCCAGCATCCTGCCGACCGGCAGGCCACGGAAGATGTCGGCTGGAACCCGCCCGAGTTCTTGCTCCGATGGCAGGTCGTCCAGCCACTTCCAGTCGTCCCGATCGTCGTACACGAGCCACGACCAGATCCGATCGCAGAGTGGAGGAGCAGGGACGGTCGCTGTCTGATGGCTCACATCGGTGCTGCGACTGGCGGGCAGAGCTCACAGGCGCCTTGAATCGGGACGGCCCCTGGTCTGGGAAGAGGAAGCGGCATAACCCTGTGAGCCTTTTTCATCTGGCGTTTCGACACTGGGCGGAAAGGGGCGGTCTGGCTCCGGACGTCTGCTTAGAGTGCGACTGTTTGAAGCAGTGCGCCCCACGGGTGAGGGGCTCCACCTGCTCTAGACAGGCGCCCAAAACAGCCGAGATCCACTCCACTGGGGGGGGGAAGGGGGGGCTGCGTTACGTCGGGCGTGTCCCCCTACAGGGGGATTTTCGACCAAAAAAATACCCCAAAAATGCACCAAAAAGGTCACACAATACTCTAAAAATAGTCCCCCGACTATTTCTGGACCATTTGTCGATTATTTTGGGGGTCTTTCTTTTTTACTTGTCGTCGGAACTCCCCCTGTAGGGGGATAGGCCCGACTTAAGGGTTGCGAGGGCCCGCGCCGATCGGCAACACGCTGAATAGCAAAACGATCACCATCGGCGGTGGACAAACCTTCCTTTAGTAAACCTCCCCTTCGTGAAAGCGGCCTGGGACCGAAACCGACGGACCTGGACCCGCAAAAATGACGGCCGCGACGCCCTCTCGCGAACCGAAAACGGCCGATTCCTTCATCGACGTGTCAGGATAGGAGGTCTGTCCACCTCCGACACCAGCCGGGCCCTGTCACGCTTGGGCCTCCGGTGGGCGACGCGCTCCGAGGCGCGCTCCGAGGCGCTCGGGGGGGGCGGGCGGGCGCCGCGGGGTGGCCGAGCGGCCGGCGCCGACGCGGGCGCCGCTGCCGAGGGCCGTGGACAGGAGGCCCACGCTGCCCTGGGCGGGCGCCTGCAGTCGGGGCGTTGGCCTAAGGAACGCTAAATAAGGAACGAGGCCCCTTGTTTTCCATAAGGTAACCTTCGAACTCCTGTCGAGAACATGAGGAACGTCTGAGGCAAGCTGTGGAACACTCCAGGAACGCGGAGCCCCTCCCCAACGAAAAGGGTTCCTTCTTCAGGGCCCCGACTGTAAATCCATGGCGCGCCCGCCCGTTCGTCGACAACGCGCTCCAGACGCCGCGCGGAGCGGCTATGGGGGGGGAGCGGAAGGGGGGGTTGCGAGGCCCCGCGCCGATCGGCAACATGCCGAATGAAACAAAAAACGGAAAAACGCCCGCGCCGATGGGCAGAAACGACAAAACGATCACCAGAACCTGCCTCGGCGGTGGACGAACCTCCCTTTCGTAAACCACCCTTTCGTGAAAACGGCCTGGGACCGAACCCGACGGACCTGGATCCTCGAAACTGACGGCCGCGACGCCCTCTCGCGAACCGAAAACGGCCAATTCTAACCAGCCTCAAACTTATCCCTATCCCTGAGATTGACACGCCAAAAGGCGATGACAATCTTAGGGATGCACCCTCAGAAACTGAGGGAACCCCTAAGGTCGCCACCGTGACGAGGCGATGCCCAACATAGGGATAGGGATGGGTTCCAGGCTGGCAAAATCCGCGAATCGACGTGGTGAGGCATAGGAGGTCTATCCACCTCCTGCTGCCCGGAGCTCCGCACGGCTTGCCTCGGGCCCGCACTGCAGCTCCCTGCCGCGCGCGGGGCGCGCGGCAGGGAGCCGAGGCCGGGGGCGGCGCGCCGGAGGCGCAGAGCGCCGGAGGGGCGCCGCCCAGGTGCAGAGCAGGGTGAACGCCGCGCGGAGCTCCCACAGATTGCAGTCGGGGCGTTGACCTAAGGAACCCTAGATAAGGAACGATGCCCCTTTTCTCCACACATTGAACTTCGATTTCCCATCGGAAACCGAAGGAAAACCCAAGGCAAACTGCGAAACAACGAAGGAACACGGAGCCCCTCCCGAACGAAAAGGGTTGCTTCTTCAGGGCCCCGACTGGACGGCCGAAGAGAGGGTCAAGAGCAGTATCGTTCAAGAGACCTGGGCCAGCTACCCGAAGGTTCCCTGAGCCAGACCTGGGCCAGTCTCTGCTGTCAACGCTGGAGGGGCGTGCGTGCTCCAGAAACCGAGCCAGCTTTCCGGCAGGTTGGTTGAGAAACGCTGGCGCAGCTTTTCGGGAGGTTTCTTAACCAGATGCTCGACCGTATGCTCACGGTGATGGCATCGGATAAGGGAGCCTTCGATCAGGAATCCAGGGCCTGTCCCTCTACAGGGGGAATGTTCAAAGATGGTCGATAACAATAGTCTGGGGACGATTTGTTTGACCATGTCTGCCTATTCCTGAACATTGTTTGAATATTGTCAATTTTTCGTCCAAAATCCTCCTGTAGGAGGACATGCCCGACCCAAGCTCACGGTGATGGCACTGGATGAGGAAACCTTCGATAAGGAACCCAGGGTCTGGAAGCTACCACCGCCGCCCCCATCAGAGCAGGCATCCTCCAGGTTCTGAGGCCGCTTGGGCACATTCCTTAACCAACGCCCCCACCGTACACGTCGCCAATTTCAAATCGTGCTCATTTCTAATTGTGCTCGTTTCTAATTGTTCCTGGCCCCCTAGTGGCCAGGCAGAGGCCCAGGATAGAACAATCAGCAATGAAATGATCTTGGACCCCCAAAACATCGAAGAACCACGAAGAATTATCACTGAACGGTGTGTCTGCAATCTGGTCTTCCTCGACGGGTCCAAGATCAGCATGGGCCTCCCTTTTGTGGAGCCCTCGCGCCCCCTCGGGCCCCGTCCACCCCCGGGCAGGCCTCGGCGCCCCGCCTAATGGGACCCGCAACCGGCGGCCGGGAGGGTCGGGAGACTGCACGTGGTGACCCGTGCAGCGGCAGGGGCTCGCCCCGAAAGCAGCCAGCGCGTGTGCGATCTGGACGCGAGTCGCGTGAGCACGTGCGCGCAGATGCGCGTCATGACTGGGCTCCTGTCCAAGGTGTACCTTTTCCTGCACTTCAACTTCGGCACCGCCTGATCCCAGGGCTTCGCCCTCTCTCGGCCTTGACGTGAGACCCCGCCTTCTTTTGCCCTCCCTCCCGCAAATCAAAAAGTAATGACTGGGTGGGGGTGAGGCCGGACAGGATGAGAAGACGGCCGTGCTCGCACGAACAAGCGGCCCGTGCGGGTCCCCGGCATCTCTTCGAACGTGGCCGCTGTGGCCGTAGTTGGGCCCCCCTCGGGTGAAGCGAAATTTGAGAGTGGTGGGCCACTCTACGTCCAAAGCAGCTGCCCGACCCGGGTCTGCGCTGGGGATCCTCATGGGGGAGGTCAATCACAACCACGGGGGCCTGAGCCCGAATTCCAGATGGATGTAACGATATGCGCCAGGGGTGGGTCATCCTGATGCCAACGGTAGCTCGTCACTGATATTTCTGGCGCCCAGGTTAGGCTCCCTCTAAGAGGCGAGAAGCGCGAGCAGGGGGGGTCCTGTTCCTGCGAATCACGTGGGCATCCGACGATTACTGCCAATGTGGGAAGCGAAACGCATGGGGCTGCAGCCACAGGGTCCGAGGATGGTGCAAACGCAACCGGTGCGACCCTCTCCTGTGCTGTAGGATGGGGGTGCGCAGTTCGTGAGGAGTGGGCATTCTGAATCCAGGGCCAGAGCGCAACAGTGTGAGAGGTTTTATGTATGGCTGCGGCGTATGTGCGAGTGTGTGTGTGTGTGAACACGACCGCTGGGGCCTTGCTGTGGTTCCGTTCTGGAAGTGCGAGATGTAAGACAGGCAGGTGCTATGGAGAGGACGCGCACGACGGCTTCGGTGGGCACTCTGGGCTCCAGGTCCAGGGTAAGTGTGCGGATGCACCGGCTGCGGCCCTAGATTGCTCCAGGTCCATGAGGAGACATGAAGGCAAGGGAGGGACGAGTGACTATGGAAGCAGTGAAAAGAAAAGGATTGGACAGGGACGCAGAGAGGAGAGGCTCGAACCCATCTCTGCCTTAGCCCTGTACGTAAGATAATTCGTGTTGGCTACGGCCATGAGGTTGGCAAGAGGCGATGGCGTGATTATCGGGAGCGGCCAAGAGGGGGGTGTTCAAGAGGGGTGTGTGCAAATCATGACCGGCGGCATGTGCGCGGCCCAGCGGGGGGGCCAGGGACGTAATGAAATAAGAAGAGGCGCCATGACATCTGGGGAGATATCATGGCCCCCGCCATGATACCCACCCCCCCTAGTCATCACCCCCCTCTTTTCCGCCCCCGATATTACCATTGGAGGTCACGTCTGGAGCTGTTGACTGGGTCACAGCAGCATGTCTTCACCACTGCCACGGCCAAGGCACAACCTGCATGCCAGACCCTGGCACTGCCTTCCGACGCTGGGGCGAGACCCCGCGCTGGGCTCTCGACCTGGCCGCCCGGGAGCGCTGCCCCCCAGCGCTCATCGTGATCTTTCCGACGGCCTCGTCGTCCTCGGGGAGGCCGAAAGAGATCGGCAGCGGCCAAGAGGGGGGTGTCCAAGAAAAGGGGGGTGCAAATCATGACCGGCGGCATGTGCGCGGCCCAGCGGGGGGGCCAGGGACGTAATGAGATAAGAAGAGGCGCTAGAAGATCTGGGGAAATATCATTGCCCCCGCCATGAGATCCCCCCCCCCTAGTCATCACCCCCATCTTTTCCGCCCCCGAAAAATACCGATACCGCTGCTCCCCGGACCTCTCCCGGGGCGCGTTCTGGCCAGCATTTCGGGGCGAATTCAACGGTGGCGACGAGGGCCTCCGAGGGGGTACCCTTTCCTTCTTGGAATCCTCTGGGACATCGAAGAGGGCGTCCGCGAGCGTGGAGTTCCCGCGGCGGATCCGCGACTGGTTGGCAACGCGGCGACGCCCGCGGCGGCGCTTGCCCACCGGCGCGAACTCCAGGAACCTGCGGCCCGCCCAAGGGGGGGGGCCGCACGCACGCGCCCAGGGGGCGGGGGCCCTCCCCGCAACGCCTGAGCATTTTCTTAGGCTGGAGGGCTCCGGGTGGAACTCATATGAGCTGTTGCACCTCGAACAGCAGTTTTGCGGCGCGCACAAGGGGGTGGAGGGAGGGGGGAGGGCTGCTCAGAGGGAGGCCGCTTCTTAGAGGGCGCCGGCCTTGCATCTGCAGATCAGGCCCGCGCCTTCTAAGAAGCAGGGGTGCTTCTAAGAAGCCTTCCCCCCGCCCCCCACCCCCCTCTGCGCGTGGCTGCAGCAGTCCGTCTTGTGATCCACCTTTTGCAGAGCCGAGCCTCGAGAACCGTTCGAGACGGCACTTCAGGTTTCACCTCGAACCTCTTGCCCTCCACCCAGAGGAACTGCTCGGGCAGTGTCCGTGCCGCCCCCTGCCTATAGGACGTGCGGCCCGCATCGGAACCGCATCGGACCGGCCTCGCCGGGATGCGCAGCAGCGCGGCGCGAGCATCGGCCCGCATCTCGGGTCGTGGGAGCGTCGGCCATCGGATCGGGCCGGCAAGAGTCGATGGTAGAAGAAGAAGAAGAAGAGGAATAACAATAAAAAAATAATAATAAAAATGTTAATAATAATACTATTACTACTACTACTAATAATAATAATAAGGGTAATAATAAAAAATACTATTAATAATAATAATACGGATAATAATGATAATAACAATAATAATAAAAATACTACTACTAATAATAAGAAGAAAAATAGTAATAATAATAATAATGATAACAATAATAATAACAATAATAATAATACACATAAGAATAATAAGAAGAAGAAGAAGGAGAAGAGAGAGCGGCAGAACCGCAGACTTTCAGAGGCCCGTGCTGGTTGCTTGGATCTGTGCCCGGCCCTCCTCCCTGGCGCGCGGAGGCGCCGCCGGGGGGGCCCAGCGCCGGTCCAGGAAATCCGCGCGGAGCTCCGAAAGTGGACGTTCACTCCCCAGACAAAGCGCTTTGGGGTTGTTGCTTGGAGGAGGAGGAGGAGGAGGAGGAGGAGGAGGAGGAGGAGGAGGAGGAGGAGGAGGAGGAGGAGGAGGAGGAGAGGAGGAGAGAGGAGGAGGAGGAGGAGGAGGAGGAGGAGGAGGAGGAGAGGGAGAGGAGGAGGAGAGACGGGAGGAGGAGGAGAGGAGGAGGAGGAGGAGGAGGAGGAGGAGGAGGAGGAGGGGAGGAGGAAGGAGGAGGAGGAGGAGGAGGAGGAGGGGGAGGAGGAGGAACAGGTGCTTGGGTGGTGCTCTGTACTCCCGACACGCTGCGGCCCGTGCCGCCTCGCGGGCGCCTCCACTTCAGGGCGCCCTGGGCTCTCGGGAGGCACGCCGAGGTGGCGCCACAGGGCCGCTCGTGCCGCCTGGCGGGCGCCCTGTGCGACGGGGGGGCAGCGCCGAGGCTGCAGGAAAGCCCAGGATCGAAGCGATCAGTCGGACCGGCGATCGAATGGAATCGAGTCGGTGGAAGTCGGCAGCCGAGTCGGGAAAAGTCGAAGCGGCGGAAATCGGAGCCCGAATCGGAAGGGGGTCCCCGGACGAAAAGTACTCCGGCCGGTACTACTCAGAGATGGGTTTTCCTTCTGGGCGCTCCTAGAGCGCTCCCGAGCGCTCCTAGAGGTCCCCAAGAGTTCCCAAGACGGTCCAAGAGGGCTCCGAATCGCCGACCGATCGATCCAAGACGCCCAAGATAGGCTCCTCACCGCCGCAGACGCTCACAAGACGCCCAAAGAGGCCTCGAAGAAGCGTCTCAAGACAATAGGCCTCCAAGAGAGCCCCAAGAGGGCCCCAAGATGGCCCAAGAGGCCTCCAAGACGGCCCAAAATATCCCCAGGACGGCCCCAAGAGGGGGCCAGGCGGGAAACCCGAACGGACATTTCGAGCCCTCGGTCCCAAGAGGCTCCCAAGACGCCCAAAGAGGCCTCGAAGAAGCGATTCAAGAGGGCCCCCAAAACAAAAACCATGGATTTCCCATCGGTGTTTGAAGGATTTCGGCGTTCTCATCTGTTCGGCTTCCCGACGTTCAAAGAAGGCCCCACAGGCTTCAAATATCGCCCCAAGACGGCCCAAGAGGCCTTCAAGAGAGCCCCAAGAGGGCCCAAGAGGGCCCCAAGACGGCCAAAGAGGCCTCCAAGACGGCCCAAGACATCCCCGGGACGGCCCCAAGAGGGGGCCAGACGGGAAACCCGAACGGACATTTCGAGCCCTCGGCCCCAAGAGGCTCCCAGGAGGCCCTAAGAAGCCCCCAAGAGCCCCCCAAAAAACTCCAAGAGGCCCCCAAGAGGCCCCCATACGGCCCCCAAGAGGCCTCAAAACTGCCTCCCAGAGCCCCCGCGAGGCCAACCACGAGAGCTCAACCAACATCTATGAGGCCTCTGACCCACCACCCACCGTCTCCGAAAAATGGAAGCCACCCAACGGCACCGCATTGACAACAACGCCCCGACAAACAACAGTGGCGAGGCAACATGGGCCAGCGGAGTGAGCGAAGCGATAGAATAGGAAATCGGAGCCCGAATCGGCATCCCAACTCGAACCGAATCGGAATCGCAAGCCATCGACATCGAATCGAACCGGATTGGATGAGTTGAAGCTAGCCTCAGGCCGGGCACGTCCCCCTGCAAAGGGATTTTGAACGAAAGCTCAAGAGTGGACCAACCAATACGCGAAAACTGGCAAACATAGTAAAAAACAAAAAAACGTCCCCAGACTATCTGTTGATTCTTTCTGGACCTGCCTCCTGCAGAGGGACAGGCCCGAATCGGACGGGGAGGAGGAGGAGGAGGACGAGGAGGAGGAGGAGGACGAGGAGGAGGAGGAGGAGGAGGAGGAGGGGGAGGGGGAGGGGAGGGAGGAGGAGAGGAGGAGGAGGAGGAGGAGGAGGAGGAGGGAGGAAGGAGGAGGGAGGAGGAGGACGAGGAGGAGGAGGAGGAGCTGGCCCTGGCCCGGTGGGCGCCCCGCGCGGCGCGGGGGCACCGCCGAGGCCGCGCCGCGCCGGGCGCCCCGTGCCGCCCCGGGAGGGTGCGCCCTTGCGGGCCCTGCGCGCGAGAGGTGCGCCCCGGGCGGCCGCCCCGTTGGCCGCCCCATGGGCCGCCCCGTTGGCCTCGATGAAAAATACAAAATACCCCAACAACAATCAAACAAAATAACCCCAAAATAAGCCAAACATCATCTGGGGACCATGTTTCCAATTCTTGTGCTTTTACCTCTTCGGGGCATGTTGAAAATCCCTCGTTGAAAATCCCCCCCCGTAGGGGGACACGCCCGACAGAACGATGACTGTGGGGCCAGTGGCCGCCCCGTGGGCCGCCTCACGGGCGCCCCGCTCGCTGCGGGGCGGGGGGGTCCGCTCAGGTCGGGCGTGCCCCCCCCCCCTAGGGGCGGACGTCGGACGAGGCCGCAACAAAACATCCAGGACATACCTAAAGCGACATAAGTGCAGAAAAGTGGTCAGGCGGTCGTCCCCGGGCCATGTCGTGACTGCTTTTGGCTCGACTCCTTCTGTAGAGGGACACGCCCGGCTCCAGGGTATGCCGAGGCTGCGCCACGCTGCCGCGTTTTGCCGCCTCGCGGGACATCACAGAACTTACAGTCGGGGCGTTGACCTAAGGAGCCCCAAGTAGGGAACGAGGCCCTGTGTTCCTCGAGGTTAACTTCGCTTTCCGATTGAAGGCCAAAGGTAAACCTAAGGCAAACTGTGCAACAAGTAAGAAACATGGAGCCGCTCCCAAACGAAAAGGGTTCCTGCTTCTGCGCCCCGACTGTAGCTTACACCCCCAGGGCTTCCACTTCCAGCTCGCACCGCCGAGCTTCTCGCACGATGCAGTCACCGCACCAGCTCAGACCGCCAATCCTGCACGCCATAGTCTTCACCACACAGCTTACACCGCAGGAATTCCACCTCCACAGTGTACCAACGTGCTGGTCTGGGCCCGCGCTGGCTAACATGCTGCTCTTTCTCCTTCGGGATGACGTATCGGATCGGGTCGGATCGACACGGGCCACCCGTTGGGGGCTTCCGGACCGGCAGGCCTGTGCACGTCGTCGGCGAGCTGCACCTCCGCGTCCGAGGAGCCCCTCGAATTGCGCCTCCCGGCGCGAGGCGACGACTTGCTGTCCTCGTGGGGCGACAGATCTGGAGGAGGAGGGCGAGGAGGAGGAAGAGGAGGAGGAGGAGGAGGAGGAGGAAGAGGACGGGAAGGACGAGGAGGAGGAAGAGGAGGAGGACGGGGAGGAGGAGGAGGAGGATGAAGAGGATGAGGAGGAGGAGGGGGAGAAGTAAGAGGAGGACGGGGAGGAGGAGAAAACACTCGCCTTTCACTTCCCTGATCCCTTGTGTCTTGGCAAGACAAGCCCCGGGACCGCCAACGAACCACTCGGGATGAAAAGAGATGGTCCTGGGGGAGTGTCGAGACCTCTGGGGTCCACCTTGCACGTCTCGAGACCTCTGGGGTCCACCTTGTACGTCGTTAAACAAGTCATGACCACTGGGGACGTCAAACGACTACCACACCGATCCTGGCCAGGCCCCATCCTGGGCCGTGGGTCCTCCTGGCCTGACCAGGGAGGCAAATGGGAGCCGCGCGCACACACACAGCACACCACACACACACACACAACGCACAACGAACACACAACACACAGTACACAGCAGACAACACATCACAACACAACACAACACAACACATACACACCCAGAACACATTCGGCGGTGGACAAACCTCCCTTTAATAAACCTCCCCTTAGGGAAAACGGCCTGGGACCGAAACCGACGGACCTGGATCCGCAAAAATGACGGCCGCGACGCCCTCTCGCGAACCGAAAACGGCCAACTCACTAATCGACGTGTCGGGGTAGGAGGTCTGTCCACCCCCGACACATGCGCAGCCCACCATACCATAACCCAACACAACACAACCCAAGCCAGCACAACACACAACACACACACACACACATTTGTGGCGGTAGCGGTCTGGCGCGCGGCGAGGAGGCCGAGTAAGTGAGAGCACTCAGCGCGCGGTCGCTGGAGAGACCTTCAGGAATCGCTTAGGATTCGAGGCGCCAACCGCCATCAGCCCCGGGGGCATGGATGGCAGGGAGGAGACACGCACTCACACATACACAGACACACAGACACAGACAGGGACTCACACATAAAAACATACACACACGGACACACGGACACACGAACGCACGCCGCGCACACACACACAAACACACACAAACTCACACACACAACATACAACACACATACACAACAAACAACACACAACACACACAAACACAAACGCACACAAACACACAAACGCACACACACACACACACACAAAAACACAAACACACACACACACATACAACACACAACACACAACATACACAACATACAACACACACCACACACCACGCACAGCAGTGCCCATACATACGCTGAGGTCTGCGGGCCGTCGCAGCACACGCAGTTCTGTGGAACGTCTCACGCTCGCGAACCTGCCCCGAACACCGCTCATCACATATTGTGCGCGGCGCCGGTGGCGGCCAGACTCTGACGGCCACGCTCCCGCCCCCGAACGCAAGCAGATCGCCCCCGGGCCCGGCTCCGTGGGGTGGCCACGGCGCGCCCCCCCCCGCTGGCTGCAGGCCACGCCGTCCGGCGCGCGCGGGCCCTGGAGCCGGGGGCGCTCCGCCCTGCAGGGTCGGCTCCCGCTCCCTCCCCGAGCCGCTCTTGCGAAGCACTCTGACCAGTGGGGGGGCCTCGCCGTGCAACCTGGGGCTCCGCCCTGGATCGGCTCCCGCTCCCTCCCCGAGCCGCTCTTGCTCAGCGGCCCTCTCAACCGGGGACTCCTCCGGCGGGGGCACTCTTCGACCCGTTTCCCGGCGAAGCCGGCCCCTCCCGACGTGGGCAGCGCTGCAGCGCCAGAAAGCATAGGCCCTGAAGAGGCAACTCAGGAAGAGGACGAGGAGGAAGAGGAGGAGGGCGGGATCTGGTTTCGCCGGCGATGCTCTCGCCCTGCTGGTTTCGCCGACGGCTGGTTTCGCTGGCGCTGGTTTCGTCGGCGCTGGTTTCGCCGACGCGAGCCTTAACGGGCGGATCGGGTCGGGCGGGCGGACCCTAGCGGGTGGGTCGGGTCGGGTCGGGCGGGCGGGACATTAAAGTGTGGGGCGCGCTCGACCGAGCATGCGCGAACTCAAACTCGGGAGCGGCCAAGAGGGGTGTGTCCAAGAGGGGGGGGTGCAAATCACGACCGGCGGCACGTGCGCGGCCCAGCGGGGGGGCCAGGGACGTAATGAAATAAGAAGAGGCGCCGTGAAATCTGGGGAAATATCATGACCCCCGCCATGATATCCACCCCCCCTAGTCATCACCCCCCTCTTTGCCGCCCCCGACAATCGGGTGGGTCTGGTCGGGCGGATACTAACGGGCGCGACCGGTCGGGCCGGGCGGGCAGAACCTAACGGGCGGGTCGGGTCGGGCTGGCGGGACATGAAAGTGTGGGGCGCGCTCGACCGAGCACGCGCGAGCCCCAACGGGCGGGTCGGGTTGGGCGGGCGGACCCTAACGGGCGGGTCGTGTCGGGCCGGGCGGGCGGACCCTGAGGGCGGGCCGGTTCGTGCGTGCGGGACATTAAAGTGTGGGGAGCGCTCGACCGAGCACGCGCGAACCCGAACGGGCCAGTTTGGTCGGGCGGGCGGACCCTGACGGGCATGTCGGGTCGGGCGGGCGGACCCTATCGGGCGTGTCGGGTCGGGTCGGTCGGGACATTAAAGTGTGGGGCGCGCTCGACCCTGCGGGTGGGTCGGGTCGGGCGGCCGGACCCTCGCGGGCGGGTAGGGTCGGACAGTGTCGCCGACGGCAGCTGGTTTCGCGGACGGCTGCTTGTTTCGCCGACAGCAGCTGGTTTCGCCGACGGCAGCTGGTTTCGCCGACGGAGCTGATTTCGCTGGGCGGTGAATCCAGCCGGGCGAAACGAACCGGGTGACACCTGCCGTCGGCGAAACCAGCGGTCGCCAGGAGGAGGAGGAGGAGGAGGAGGAGGAGGAAGAGGAGGAGGGAGGAAGAGGAGGAGGGAGGGGAAGGAGGAGGAGGGACGAGTGTCGATTCCCCGCCGAGAGCTTAGGGTGGGGGTGGGGTTCTCAACATCGAAGACCCTTCTCCGTTACACCCCTGCCTTCCCCACCTTGTGCGCGCCGCAAGCTCACCGCGACAGTCCGTAGATGAGGAAGCACGGCACAAGCATAAACTCTCGACGGGCCCGTGCGGATTTCCTGGATCTGCGCTGAACCTCTCTTCCCTTGCGCGCCGAGCGCGCCTGAGGCGGCGCCGCCAGGGGGCCCCAGCGCGGATCCAGACATCCGCCTAGACCGTCGCAGTGTTATGTGTATGCACCTGTTTCGCCCTCGAGTTCTGCTCTTGCATCCTGCCGTTGTCATGTCTGTTCGCACTGGAGACTGCTTCTGCTGACCACCTGGCTATCTGGATCAGATGAGGCATGCAACGTCTCCTCGTCCGAATCGGGAAGGCGTAAGAATCGGGTTCGGGGAACTCGGGTTGGCCTGGCGTTAATTACTCCCCTCCTTCTCGGCTGCACGCGGGAGTTTAGGAAGCAACTCCTGGGATGTCTTGGAAACCAAAAAAAAACAATGGGGGCTATTCAGCCCGATGTAGGGGCCACATCAGCCCACGATTAAGCCAGATTGCGCGTGATAATAAGCGGGATTCACGGATGACCTCGGATTACGCCAGATTCGGTCGGGTGATGAAGCGGGATGGTGTACGGTTATTGACCACGGATATACCGATGCGTGCGTGCGTGCGTGCGTGCGTGCGGGCGGGCCAGCAATGTCTGCTCCCCTCTCCTCGTCCCCTCTCGCCCTCCTCTGCTGCAACCTCCTCCTCCTCCTCCTCCTCGTCCCCCTCCTCCTCGTCCTGGTTCTCCTCCTCCTCCTCCTCCTCCGCCTCCTCCTCCTCCTCCTCCCTTCTCCTCCCTCGCCCGTGCCGGTGAAGTCGAGGAGTCTCCGGGGCGGGTGGACATAGCCGCACCACGGCCTCGCGGGCTGGGCCCCCAAGCCGCGGCCCCGTGGACACGGGGGCGTTCCACTTCGAGGATGCCCCGCGCGCAAACCGCTCCCACGCCACCGCGCATCTGCGGGCTCGCTCCCCGGAGTCCAGGACCGCTGGGGTGTGGACGCGGATGCGTGGGCCGCTCGTTCCGGGCGTTGCCAGACGCGCCCTCGGCGCAGGGTGCCCCCCAGAGGACTTCCAGGGAGGCACCAGCGGCTTCTCTAGATCACCCCTCGAGAGGCCCCGAGGGCCCCCGGGGCTCCAAGGCTGAACGAACAACTGGGGGCACCTTGGGCCGGGGGCCCCCATGAGCATCGTTGATCTGATCCCTATCGCCAGCGGCGTGGCCTGGGCCCCACTGGCCGATCTACCCCCCCAGATGGGGATATATGGTCGAGGGTCTGGGCCCCCCCCCATGCTAATGCCATCGCCCCCCCCCGCCGCGCGATGGTCCCCCCCCCTCACCCTGTGGATGTGGTGTGGGGGTGGTGTGTTGCTGTGGGTGTGTGTGTGGGGTGGCCCAATGTCCTCCCCCCCCTACCCCCCTGTGGGTGTGGTGTGGGTGTGCGTGTGGCTGTGATTGTGGAGTCATGCTGACGTGCTTGAAGAAAGCTCCGGTGTTCGACGTCGTCGCCGCCCCCGCCGCCGGTGCCGTCGACGTCGTCGTTGTCGTCGTCGTCGTCGTCGTCGTCGTCGTCGCCGTCGTCGTCGTCGTCGGCGTTGTCGTCGTCGTCGTCGTCGTCGGCGTTGTCGTCGTCGTCGTCGTCGTCGGCGTTGTCGTCGTCGTCGTCGTCGTCCGTCGTCGTCGTCCGCCGTCGTCCATCGTCCGTCGTCGTCGTCGTCGTCGCCGTCGTCGTCGTCGTCGTCGTCGTCGCCGTCGCGGCCGCCGTCGTCGTCGTCGTCCTCTTCCTCCTCCGCCTCCTCCTCCTTCTCCTCCTCCTCCTCCTCCTCCGCCTCCTCCTCCTCCTCTCCTCCTCCTCCTCCGCCTCCTCTCATCCTCCTCCTCCTCCTCCTCCTCCTCCTCCTCCACCCCCCCCATCCCATCTGGGGGGGGGGAGGGGGGCCGTGGACCCTGGGGCCCATCCCATCTGGGGAGGGGGGGGGCCGTGGGCCCGGAGCCCGCGATCATATATAGGCCCTTCCCTTCGGGCCTCGAGGGGTGCATCCCCCCGACGGGGGGGGGGGGGGTAATTCGGTGGGGGGGTCTCGAGAGGGATGGGCACGGGGAGGTGGCCCGGCGAAACGATACTGGCCCATCCCCTGGGGCCAGGGACAGGGATGGGAACAGGGATGGGGGACAGGGATGTGGGCTGTGCATGCGGCCCGTCCCACGGGGCCACGCGGGGCCGACAGCCGGGGCCGCCGCGCTCGCCCGGACGCCGCGCGCCGAGGTCGGGGCGCGCTGCTGCCTCGGGCTCCGCCCCTCCGCCGGCGCGGGGGGAGGCGGAGGCCGGGCCCGAGGGCGGCCCGGGCGGGGCCGGGCGCTGGCAGAGCTGGGGTCAGTGGGGCCTGGTCTAGTGGTGTGTGCTGCGGGATGACGATTCATAAAAAAGAATGGGGGAGAAGGATTAAAAAAAAACATAGTTCTCTGCTATCTCTGCACAGCTTCCTGACTGGAGGAGAACGATTAAAAGATGTCGTGTTCCAAATAAGTATCATCCCGGGCGCCGCCGCGTGAACACGACCCCCCGTCATTTATTAATCGTCATCCTCCATTACTGGGGGACGCCCCCTCCCGCCCCGCTCCACTAATCGAAAGCGCCGTCACCCGCAAAAACGCCAGCTGCGGCAGACCTGGTTCAGCGATTCTGGCTAATTTAGGGGCTCTGGGGCCCCACTGCTAACCAGGTCCCCTTACCTGGGGTCCTGGCTGTACCCGACAAGGGGGAAAAAAAGCCCGAGGGCAGCCGGATCTCGAGTGCGCGGCCATGCCTGCGGGATTCTCTGCTCGTCGCCCCCCCCCCCGCGCGGGGTGAGGACTCATCCACCTCCACCGCCCATGGATCCCATCTCCTGGGAGGACACTGGGCGGCGGATGTGTGCGTGTGCATGAATTGGCCCCACGGGGCCCGAGTCCATCCGCCCAGGTGGTCCACCGCCTGCCGAGGTCCCCCGAGATCAGTCGGGGCGTTGACCTAAGGAACCCTAAATAAGGAACGGAGCCCCTTTTTTCATAAGTTAACCTTCGACTTACAACCAAAAACTTCAGGAAAACATTGGGCAAGGTGTGGAACAATTAAAGAACACCGAGCCCCTCCCCAACGAAAAAAAATCCTTCTTCAGTGCCCCGACTGTACGTCTCCCAGCCGGTGGTCATGGACACAGTCGGCCGGCATCATGAAGACGCACGACAAGGATGCAAGGGCGTTGGCAAGGCTATGCGAGCGGGGCGCGGCCAGCGAAGGCGGCGACGGATGGGCCGAAGGGGAAGGATTCAGAGGCAATCTTGGGAAATTGCTCATGCTCAATATGCGTGCACACTCTATGGATCAAATTTCCCGCCTCGAGACGCCCACCCCTGGACAGAACCGTGAGGGGGAAGAGTGCGGCGTTACTGGTAGGACACCCAGAAGGGGTCAGCGTTAGAAAACCCAGGGCGCCTAACTTCACGCTTTGCGCTGCGCGCTGCGCGAAGCGCGAATAGCTTCGCGCTCTCGCGCCGCCCCCCAGGGGAGAGGAAGATGAAGAGAATCGGAGCCGAACCGCGAAGCGCGAATAACTTGGTGCCCTCGAGAGCGCCCTTGTAGAAAACCCAGGGTTCGCTAGGGACCGGCTTCCCCCCAAAACTGCGAAAACCCTTCCATAACCCTCCCGAAACCTGCCCGAGGCCCTCCGAAAAGCCTCCCATAACCCTTCCTGGAGGGTTTGCGGGAGGGTTTCGGCTGTTTTGGCAGGGAGCCAATCCCTAGCGAGACCTGGATGCTATTAAGATTGGCGCATCAGCTCACGCTGATGTTCCAAACACCTCCGGGCGCCTGATGCGATAATGCATCGATGAATAACACGGGATGTCGACCCCTATCCCAGGCTTCGTGGTACTGCCGAATGGACCTGGAAATTTAGGCCCAGACCTAGGATAGACGATGGGGGGGGCGTCCATCCTAGATAGGGGTGCGTCCGAATGGCACACTTGGGGTTTATCCCAGGGTGTCCCCGTTTGGACAGGCCAAGCTCTTCAAGCGGAGTTCGGGAATTCGGGGGAAAAGCCCCCTGCGACTGATTGCCCCGACACCTCCCGGCGCCTGATGCGCCAAGGTACCGAGGAAGGCACCTGGCGGCGGGGCCGAGACCGTCTGCATGTCGCAGATTTCGCGCCCACCCCTTCCCCCCCTGACCTTCCAGAGAGCTATTTTTTTAGCGCTGGAGACCTAAAAACATAAAAAGCGAGACGAAACAGCCTAAAACCAAGACGTAGAATAGCTCTGGGATAGGTCTTTAAGTCGCGTGTTATTTTTTAGCCCTCCTGGAAAGTCAGGGCCTATCCCCCCCCTCGTCCGACGCGGCTGCGCAACCGCGTCTTTTTTTCCGCCCTGGGTCCGAGTAGTCGGAGCAGTACGAAGACAGCAGGCTCTGGCTCTCCACGGATCCGCTGTGCCTTCCGTCACCCTCCAGTCTCGGCGAAGCGCCACAAGGGGGCCGGGGGCAGATCAGTAGCACGACAGACAACTGCATACGTAAACAGAAACCTTCGGAAGTCCACGCGGATTTTGGTGAGACCGGCGCTGGACTCCCGTGCGGCGGTCCCGAACTTTTTGCTTAGCGTGTCGCTGCGGCGGCCCTGGCGACAAACTGTGCCCTGCAAGCGGATGGCGTGTCGCTGAGCTCCGCGGGGCAGGGCGCTGGGGAGAGCTCAGGACGTTGACGCCTGGAGAACGGGCCGCGGATGGCGTCGCGACGAAGCGTAGTGCGCCAGAGCCGGCGGAGCGACACGCCAAGCCTGAGTCCCTGACCGTACCCAGCGCGCGGAGCGCGCCAGGGGGGGGCGCCGAAGGCGCCGACAGGGGGTCCAACGCCGATCCCAGAGATCCGTGCGGAGCTTCGAGCATTGAGGCCTTTGTCGTTTTCTTTCTCCAGCGCCACAAAACCGCGCACCGACAGAGTCGGAACCCCGCAAAGACTGGCCCGCGCCACGGTCGACCGCCTCCTCTGCCCGGGCCGGGGCCTGCCCGCTCGTTGAGCCAGGCGGTTGCTCGGCCCGCCGAGATCTGCCAGGGGGGGGTGCCTCCCCAATGGCCGAAGGCGCCGAAGAGGGGGGTCATGACGCACATGGGGATGAGCGCATCGCTGCCCGAAGTCGGTGCCCGGACGAGGGGCAGACAGGCGACGCGTCGGAAGACGCACAGGGGGCCAAGTGATCTGAGAGATGTCGTTCGGCGCTGGCGAGCGAGGGGGGAAAGTGAGAAGGCGAAGGCCTTCTCAGAAGGCTCTGGAGTCCCCGGCCTGCTGAGAAGTTTTCTAAGCCTGCCCCGAAGACACAACAAGCTTCTGGAAAGGCGCGAGGGCTCCTGAGAAGTCCCGCCGCATTCTGAGAAGGCCTTCTCCCTCTCATTGCCCCCCCTCGCTCGCCGCCGATTTCGGGTCATATCTCGTGCCTCTGGCGTCCGTCCGAGACGAATCGGGCACTCCGGGAATGATCGCCGTCGACGAGGCGCAGCTGCTGGAAGGACTGCCGAGGCGACAACAATCCCGAAAGAGACAACCAAACCTTCAGCCAAGACGCTCCACTTGGACGCCCCCGGACAATTCCCCCGTCTCGCCCGTCCAGATCCTCCTCCTCCTCCTCCTCCCCTCCTCCTCCTCCTCCTCCTCCCCTCCTCCTCCTCCTCCTCCTCCCTCCCTCCCTCCTCCACCTCCCCTCCCCCTCCTCCTCCCTCCTCCCTCCTCCCTCCTGGGCCCCTGCTCCTGCTCCTACTCTCTCCTCCTCCTCCTCCTCCTCCTCCTCCTCCTCCTCCTCCTCCTCCTCCTTTGGGCGCCCGAAATGGGTACGGAAAGAATGGGCACAATGCCCAACAGCAAATGTGGTCCCAAACCAACAGCGGCCGCTGTTGGGCAGGCGGCCTTCTGTCTCGAATGGGCACAGGTCGCGGCGGCGCGGACAGCGAGTCCTGTTCAAAATGAGCAGGAACTGCTGTTGGGCATTGTACCCATTCTTTCCGTACCGATTTCGGGCGTCCAGATCCTCCTCCTCCTCCTCCTCCTCCTCCCTCCTCCTCCTCCTCCTCCTCCTCCTCCTCCTCCTCCTCCTCCTCCTCCTCCCCCCCTCCTCCACCTCCTCCCCTCGCGCACGATCCTTCCGAACCTTCCAGACTTCCCTTCGGCCTGCCCTCGCTCGCTCCGACGGGCTGGGAGGGAGACGAGGAGGAGAAGGCTCTCAAGAGGGGTCCCGGGCCTTGATGTTTTTTCGCAGCGTGGACCCTGTGAGTTCTGGGGCCCCTTCCCAGGGACAATTTTGTTCGTGCCGAGCGGCTTTTTGACGGCCCCAGGGGGCCCAGCAAGGGCCCCCCACAGGCCGACAGTTCGCCAGTTCGCCCAAACCCTCCGTTGTGTGTGTGTGTGTGTGTGCGTGCGTGAAACCCACGTGCCCACCTCGAGCGCGATGGCACGGTCTGCATGGCGAAGGCACCGAGACCGTTCTGCCCTCTCGGCCCGAAGTGATGGGTGATGAGGCTGCCCGCCGGGTCCTTGACCCGCCCTTCCTACAAGCACCCGCCCTGAATCGACGGGTCCGCGGCTCCCGCTCGCGGCGCCAGCGCTGGTCCACGCAGACGGGCGCCACCCCGCCGCATGCTGCCGTCGCACGAGGAGGGAGGGGGGTGGACGGAGATGGCGGTGGCGCGCATTCTCGGGGCCCGCACGTCGGGGCCCCTGCCGCCCCTCGTCGCGCTTGGCGCCCGCCTGCGCGGACGGCACCTCCGGGTGCGGCCCCCGCGCCCGTGCCCCCCGACCTGCCCCCTCTGCTGGGGCGGGACGCCAGCACGCCCCCCCGGGCCGGCTGCCGCCGATGCAGTCGTGGGGCGGCGCTCCTCGCGTGCGCCTCCCCTCCGGATAGAGGCCTGCCAGATGGGGTAGGAACTGATGGGGTCGGTGGATCGCGCCGGATCGCCGATGCATCCTTCATGCAGCGGCGATGAATCGACGACGCACCCGCGATGCATCGTCGACGTCGGCGATGCATCGGCGACGTCGACGTAAGGAAAGTCGGGCTCCACGTCGAGCCGCATCGTCGATGTATCGGCGATGCGGCGCGATCCTCCGACCCCATCGACTCGGACCCCATCTAGGAGGCCTAGACAGGAGCACCCGTCTCTCCACCGTCTCACCGCGCGGGGTTTTCCTCGCTTCTGCGCGGCGGGTGCCGCCCTTCTCCCCCCCGCGCGGCTGCTGCACCGTGCGGCCCCTCTCAGATTACGCCCTGTCCGCCTCCTCCGCGTCCTCATTCCGCCTCCCTTGGCGGCTTGCTGCCTTCCACCACCGTGCCCTTGCGTATCGGCAGGGCCTCCCCCGTGGTTAATCGGGCCGCGGCCGCGCCGCCCCAGGGGCGCCGCCTTGCCCTGCGAAGCTCCCCTGCCCCCCCCCCTCCTCGGAGGGTGCCTGCCGCACCGCCGCCGTCGTACGCATGACCCCGCCCGTGGAGCCTCCCAACCACCTGGCGGTACGCGGTGTGCCCGTGGGGGCTCCCCCTCCGCAACCCCTCCTTCGCAGACGAGCGCGTTCCACTACTCGCAAAGGAACCCCTCGCAAACGGCCTGGACCCGCTGCTGGGGATCTACACTCCGTCACATAGAAGAAGACACATGCTTTTTTTTGTCGGAGGCTTGCGAGTAGGCGCTCTGCGAGTAGTGCAACGCGCTCGATGACTTCGGGTGCGGCCCACGTCGGCACCCCCGCCCCCTGCTGGGGCGGGGGACCGACGCCCAGGCTGGCTGTCGGTGCGTGCATGGCCCCCTCCTCGGGCGCCCCTCCCTCCCGGGGCACCCGCCTCTCCACCGCCTCACCGCACGGGGTGCCCCTCGCTGCTGCGCAGCGGGCACCGCCCTCGCCCCCGCGCGGCAACTGCTCTGCGGGGCCCCGCCCCGCGCCTCTGCCCTCTCCTCCGCCGCTGTGCCCTCTGACCGCCGCCCTCTGCGGCGCCCTGCCTTCCACCGCCACCGCCGCCCGCTGCGCCCGCCTCGCTCCGGCCCCCTGCTGCGCCGCCGCCTGCAGCCTGCCACTGCGCCCCCACCTGCTCCCGCTGGGCTGCCGGCGCCGGTTTGTCGGCACCTCCGTCTCGTCCCGCGTCCCCCCCGATGCCCATGCCCGGGTGTGCGCATGGCGCGGTCGATCCCTTCGGGTGGATTCCTGGCCATTCTTCTGAGTCGGCTGGCCGCGCGCGACGCTCTTGCGCTCTGCCCTTCCACGCCTCATTGCTCGCGAGGCCACGGCGCAAGACAAAAAGAGAGTGCGTGGGCGTGCTTCTCAGCGTGATTTGGCACGAAGAGAGCCGGGGGAAGGGGCATCAGCATAGGTTAACCGACCTCCATGTTTCCTGGCGCAGCCCCCCCTGGGAGTGTGGGCTGTTGGGGCCGAGATACCACTCGGGGAACAAGCCATGGCATAACATGAAAGACTCGGCGGTCCGCGCAGACTCCTCCGATCGGCGCTGGACCCTCTGGCGGCGCCTGCGTCGCCGCTCGCGGCGCGCTCCGCGCGCCGAGGCAGGGGGATCCAGCGCCGATCCGGGAACACACGCGCGGACCTCCAAGTTTGTATTTGCATGTCCTTGCTTGCTCCCCGGTCGGAGGGGTGGTTGGTGGGGCTAAGATGCCGTGGCCCAGTGGGGGTGTGGATACGGCCGGACCGGGGACAGAAAAACGTCCTTCCAGGACATGAGGCCCTCCGCCAGCCAAGCGGAAGCACGTTCGAGGGTTCCCCTCCCCTGGGATGCACAAGAACATCCGCCAAACGCCAAGAACACGAGGGTACCCTCCCTGAACCGACCTATCCTGTATCTCGAACAGTACCCTCCCCAAGGTTACACATGAACATCCAGCACACACACACAGAGGCGAAGAACATTCGGGTGCCCTCCCCGAGCCGACCGCGATCTTATATCTTCGCCCGAGCGTAAGTCAGACGATGCCGAGGGCAGGGATGATTGAGCAGGGACCGACCGTCCCGGCATTCCCATAGTCCTACCACGAAATGGTCTCAGAACCAAGCTCTGTTCTAAGAAAAAAACAATGTTCTCAGACCATAAGCTGGATGTGTTTTAAAACAAGACAGTCCCAGCCAGAAAAGGTTCTAAGAACCTTTCGTGCAAGCCACACAACAGGTTCTGAAAACATCGCTTGGTAGGCCTGGAGGCGAGCCAGGACGCCTCGCCACTGCTTCAGGGATGAGCCGAAGAACCCACCGCGAACTGCTTGCGGTGCCTCCCCATTCCTAGGCGCGGCCGCGGCTGCGGCTGCAGCCGCAGCTGCGGCCGACTGGGAGGGGAGAACTATCGTGCTTTGTTTTGCGATAGGTCCCTCCTCCCCCTCCTCCTCCTCCTCCTCCTCCTCCTCCTCCTCCTCCTCCTCCTCCTCCTCCTCCTCCTCCTCCTCCTCCTCCCCTCCTCCTCCTCCTCCCCTCCTCCCCTCCTCCCTCCTCCTCCCTCCTCCTCCTCCTCCTCCTCCTCCCCTCCTCCTCCTCCTCCTCCTCCTCCTCCCCTCCTCCTCCCCCTCCTCCTCCTCCTCCTGTTGTCGCGGCTGCCCCTGCGGCTGTGCCCCCCGGGTGCTTCGCGGGGCTGGAGGCCCACGGGCCTGAAGCCGCCTGCGTCCCGCGGCCCCTCGGGCGGGGCCCCGGCGCCCTCCTCGGGCGGCGGGCGCCGGGGCCCCTCCTCGCTCGGCGCCTCGCCGCGGCTGCCGCCGCCGTCGGGAGCGCCCGCAGTGGCGCCGGGCGTGCCTCGGGGCTCGAGTTGGGTCGGGCCCGTCCTACAGGCGGGCTTTGAACGACACAGAAAACATCCTGAAAACAATACTCCAGACATGCTCAAACATAGTCAGAAAGTCGTCCCCAGACTATTGTTTGACTGTTGTTGAAGATTCCTCCTGCAGAGGGACAAGCCCGACTTAGGGCTCGAGCCGAACAGTGTCTTCCGTTCTCGTTTTGAGTTCGTTTTCTCTCGCTCTGTCGTCGTCCCGCCTTTGCTGCAAGCCGACATCACAACGAACACCGCCCACGAGATCGCCAAAGCACCGCTTCGCTCGAGCCCTGGCTTGCCTGACGAGGGAGGGGCGATGCAGAACTGAATGCCCTGGTCGTGGCTTCCTCCGAGCAGAGGGCCGAGGGGGGGGAGGGAGGCAGAGGGGGCGGGCCCGCTCGGGAGGCTCAGAAGGGGGCGCCGGCCTTCGGGGCAGCCCACTCCGAGCCTCCTCTCCGAAGCCGCGGAGGGCCTCTCTCCGCAGGCCCGGGGGGGCTTCTGAGAAGCCCAGCCGACCACCTGCGGAGGCCTGCCCCCCCTCTCGATTCCCCCCTCGGCGCGCCGCCGATCTGAGGCGACTCCTCCTCCTCCTCCTCCTCCTCCTCCTCCTCCTCCTCCTCCTCCTCCTCCTCCTCCTCCTCCTCTCCTCCTCCCTCCTCCCTCCTCCTCCTCCCTCCTCCCTCCTCCCTCCTCTCCCTCCTCCCTCCATCCTCCTCCTCCTCCTCCTCCTCCTCCCTCCTCCTCCTCCTCCTCCCTCCCTCCCTCCCCCCTCCCTCCCTCCCTCCCTCCCTCCCTCCCTCCCTCCCCCTCCTCCCTCCCTCCCTCCCTCCCTCCTCCCTCCTCCCTCCTCCCTCCTCCCCCCTCCCTCCTCCCCCTCCTCCTCCTCCTCCTCCTCCTCCGCCTCCTCCTCCTCCTCCTCCTCCTCCTCCTCCTCCCCTCCTCTTCCTACTCCTCCCCTCCTCCTCCTCCTCCTCCTCCTCCTTTTTCTCCTCCCTCCTCCTCCTCCTCCTCCCTCCTCCTCCTCCGCCTCCCTCCGCCTCCTCCTCCTCCTCCTCCTCCTCCTCCTCCTCCTCCCTCCTCCGCCTCTCCTCCCTCCTCTCCCCTCCTCCCTCCTCCTCCTCCTCCTCCTCCTCCTCCTCCTCCTCGTCCTCCTCCTCCTCCTCCTCCTCCTCCTCCTCCTCCTCCCTCCTCCGCCTCCTCCTCCTCCTCCTCCTCCTCCTCTCGAATACCTGCTGGTGGCAGTGACTTGGGATCTGGGGCTCGGGCTAGGCCCGGGGACCCGTCCTGCGGGTCGCACCTCGCCGACGTGTTTTTCTTGGGCAGCCCGCGCGCCACTCCGAAGCTCGAGCAGTGGCCAGAAAGCTGGGGGGAACCACACGTCGGGACGATCTGTTCGTGAGGGGCGCGTTTTCATGTCGAAAAGAGGCATCGCCTTTGGTGCGAGAGATCTGTGAACGATCACACATCAACATCGACGGTGTGAGCTGCATTTGCGAAGGACCTTCCGGACCTACGGGGGGCTTTCTAGAAACCCGCATGTCGCTAGAAGAAAAATAGGCTGCTTAAGGAAAGTGCGCGCGGACTACCTGGATCGGCGCTGGACCCCCTCCCTGTCGCGCGGACCGTGCCAGAGGCGGCGCCAGAGGCGTCGCCAGGGTGGCCCAGCGAAAATCCAAGCGCTCGGCGCGGACCTCCGCAAGCTTGTTCTTGTGATTCCTCCATCTCCAGCAGCCATTTATGGGAGGCCTAGAGGTTGACAACAACACCAATATTGGCGGTGTGCATCCACCGAGGGACGGTGCTCCCGATCTCGGTGATGGCGGCCTTATTTTGGCGTCCCAGGTGGCCGAAGTATTACCAACAGCACTGAATTCTAGGGTCGCCCCCCCTGGCTGAGGCGTGCCCAAAGCCCTCCCAGGAGCCCCACCGAAGCCCGGAGTCCCATTCAGAAGCCCTCGAGCCTCCTCCCTCGGAGCCCCCTCGGAGCCTCCTCGAGCGCCTCCGTGCCCCCCCCCCCGGCAGGCCCCCCCTCCTGCCCTTTCAGACGGGTGCCCCCCCCCTCCCCCCCCGCGCCGACCTCCTGCTGAGCGCCGCTGGGGCTGCCCCGCCCTCCCTGCCCCCTCTGGCCACGCCCTCCCCCCGGGAGGGCCGCCATTCAAGTGGGAACGAGGAGCGCTGAATCGATCCTCGAGCGCATGCTTTCTCCACTCGGGCGCTTCCAGAAAGGGCCTCGCCTTCGAAGGCCGCAGGAGTTGGCATCTCTTCCGCGGCGGAAGGTGGCGCACGGCCAGCGGAAGCGGGCGGACGCACAACGGGAGCGGCTCCGCCCGCGGAAGCCGGCAGAAGGATAACATTAACCCCAAGAGATGTCACTTTGTTCCCAACCATCTTGTGGTGTGGGGTCCTGAGACAGTGCCCAGCGTTCCTCTCTTACTCCTGCTCATGCTCCCCCTCCATACTTCTGCTCTCTGCATCAGCCTACCAATTCAGTGCACCCTGCACGCGCTGCGTGGCCCCATAGGAGGCTTCTCAGAAGGCCCCAGTGGCAGGGTCCACATGCGTCTCCCCGCCCCATTTCGGCCCTCCACCCCACACGTTTTTGTAGCCCAGTCGAAAGCTCCACCGAAGGCTCCAGTGGCAAGGTCCGTTCGGCCCCCCCCCCCACACGATTTGAGGCCGAATAGGGAGCTCAACCGAAGGCCCCTGTAGGAGGGTCCACATGCGTCGCCCTGCCAACTTCCGGCGCACTCCTCACACGTTTCGTGGCCAAAAAGGGAGCTCTACCAGAGTCCACATGCGCCTTCCCGCCCCAATTCGGCACAACCTTCAGACGTCTCGTGTCCCTATCGGAAGCCCCACCGAAGGCCGTCATGGGAGGGTCCACGTGCTCTTTCCCGCCCCATTTCGGTACGCCCCGCCCCAGTGGGAGCTCCACGAAAGGCCCCAGCGTGAGGACCCACATGCCTCTCCCCGTCCCACACCCCACACGTTTCGTGTCCCCATAAGGAGCTCCACCGAAGGCCCCAGTGACAGAGTCCACATACGCCTGCCTCCCCGACTCATTTCGGCACACCCCTCACACGCTTCGTGCCCCATATGGAGCTCCACCAAAGGCCGCAGTGACAGGGTACTCATGCTTTTCCCCGCCCCGTTTCGGAACGCCCCAGCGGGAGGGTCCACGTGCGTCTCCCCACCCCATGTGAGCACACCCTTCACACGTTCCGTGTCCCCATGCAGAGCTCCACCGAAGACCCCATTGGCAGGGTCCACACGCGCCTCCCCGCCCCAAGTCGGCGCACCCCTCCCATGTTTCGCACGCCAATGCGGGACTCCACTGAAGGCCCCAGTGGGAGAGTACACGCGCGCCTCCCTCACACAGTACAACGTCTCGTGCCCCCATGCGGGGCTCCACCCAAGGCCCCCGGTTGCCGCGGCCGCATGCGTCTGCCCCATCCGACACGACGCTTCAATGGGCTCCACCGAAGGCCCCAGTGGCCGCGGTCGCATGCTTCTCCCCCGCCCATGACAACGTGCTGTGGCCTCACAGGGCGCTCCACTGAGGGCTACAGTGGCCGTCACCGCGTGCACCGAAGATTTCATTGGCGACGTTCGCATGCGGACCCCAGGCCTCTCTTTTGCGCACCCCTCACACGCTTCGTGGCAACAGGAGGAGCTCCACCGAATGCGCCCCATGGCACAATTCGCGTGCGCTCCCCGACACCGCCACGGCACACCCCATCACGCGTGTCGTGGCCCCGTGGGGAGCTCCGCCGAAGGGCAGCCACGACGCGGCATTCACGACCGCAGCTGGCTGGGTCTCTAGCCAAGCTACTGCGCGTGTTCCAAGTTTCTCGAGCCGGCCACTTGTTCGAAGGGCTCCTCCTCCTCCTCCTCCTCCTCCTCCCCCTCCTCCTCCTCCTCCTCCTCTTCCCTCCTCCTCCTCCTCCTCCTCCTCCTCCTCCTCCTCCTCCCCCTCTCCATCCTGCGCGCGTTCGAGCAGGATGCCTCCCCCAGCGGCGGCCAGTAGGCAGACCTCGGCGGGCGGGCCCGTCGTGGCGGCCCCCGCGGCCGGCTCCGCGGGCCCCTCCGCGCGCCGCAGGCCCTGGAACCTCGCCCAGAAGCGGCCAGGGGCGGCCATCGCGCGGAGCGCCCTCCGTGGTCCGGAGCGGCTGCGGAGCGCGCGGGCGTCGCTCCAGAGCGTTCCGGAGCGCTCTCAGCGCGTTCCGGAACGCTCTGGAGCGGCCGATTTCGAGTTATCCCGATCCGAGTTTGTCCCGATCTTCGCGTCGTTTTAGGTGGGCGGGGAGGGAGAACGGGCAGGGTTCGGCTTGGGGGCGAGGGCGCACGAGTGCTCTCCGTCGGCGCACGCTGCTTCGATGATCCTCCCGGTGACCTGCGGCGATGATGCGCGAAGGGATTCGGGTGGATGACGCACCACGATCTTCCTGGCGACCTCCCCACCCTGGGAGAGCCTCCACCGCGGGGTCAGGAGGAGGAGGCCCGCGTGCCCTGCCCCACCGCCCCCATGGTCCAAGCTGCTCCCAGACCGCTTCCGAGGCGTGGAGACATTTGATTCGCTCATGGCCCGCGAGGGGGCCATCGCGACGGGAGCAGTGGTGGAGAGGGGGGGGGGGGACTGCAGAGGAGCGGTGCAGCAGTGCGAGACCGTCAAGGAAGAGGCACAGAAGCGGCCCGCAACGGAGGTGCGCACACAGGGCGACGGAACCGACAGCAATGGAAACCCTGTGGACAGGAAGGCGCAGGGGGGGACACAGCGACAACAATGGCCGGAATGCGGGAAAGACAAGTGGGGCACAAAGATGCACACACACACACACACACACGCACGGACGCACGCACGCACGCACAAGCACAAACACATGCGCACACACATTCGCACACACACGCATACACATACAGACACACACACAAACATACGCGCAAGTAC